AACCCACATCCCACAACCCACAGCCGACAACCCACAACCCACAACCAACAACGAACCACCACCACCACCACCAACAACAACAACAACAACCACCACTTACGGAAAGAACCACACACGCGCGCGTGACGAGCGCACGCACATGCAACAGACACACACACACACACAAGTTCTTGGAATGCATCGCAAACTGATGGCACGATTGCGAGTAGTACCACTTTGTGTTGAGGATATGTCAGGCATCAAAAGTGTGCCTGCAGTTAGGCTTGATCTCACGCCGCCCAACCTGACGATCCACGGAGCAACTGCTTCTGAGGACACCGTAGCCGATCATGTAATTCTGGTACGGTAGACACGCAGGCCACAAAGTGCGTGACAAAACATAGCCATCCGTGTCGGTGTGTGGCTCACCTATGTTGCTGTCCAGGAGCTGATCGCCTTGTCTTTTTCCCTGGACGAAGCAGGAACAGTTTGGCCCGAGCCTAGGACAGAGGGCTTGCAGCTGTTCAAGACCAGAGATCGCCAATGTGTTGCGAGTCGTTTGCCAGGCCACTGTTACAATAGTGGGAGGAAGTATACTTATAGCTCGATGGTTTGCTTGTACAACAAGGTCTAGACAATGATGCGGCGGCAAATTGAGTTCAAGTCTCGCAGTGAAGCCAACCCACTGTGTAGCGTTCTAAGGTGTCGTGCTCTTCGGAAGGGAGCTGTTGTGCCACATGCAACTTGCCTAAAAATGTATGCTTGAAGTTGACTGGATCGGCCTTGCATTTTTTGCAGGCAGCCGAAATATTGGAGACTGGCTTTTATGCAGAAGCTGGTGCTGACGTTGCGGGCCAGGCCCAAGTATGACATGCAGAATTTGTCCTGAGCGTGTCAGACGCCCTTGAATGGCGAAGGTGAATATCACTGCTGAAAGCCCGCATGGCAATGGATTGGCTCGTGGCACAGACTACGAGGCCATGTGCCAGTGGCACAGCCCCCTTTGTGACCTTCAACTCAGAGTGGCAGCTTCGGGAAGTGAGAGCCAGGTTTACTGCTACGCGCAAGACGTCTTATGTCTTGGCTGCACTGCTCCTTCAGGATCCACCGCTCAGGCGCATAGCCGGGCATGCCACCGAGCCTTGCCGCTTGACTGAAAGGCCATTCTGGAGTCACGGACGTTTATTCGCACCGCAGATGTGCTTGGCCTCAGTTGACTGTGCACAGCAGTCGGCAGTCGGCTGCAGTCAGCTTCGAGGCCACGCCGCCGCGGATTCGGGTCTTTTTTGCGGAGGCAACGAGCCGCAGCACCATTCAGCCGAAGCCTCACCTCGCGGGGAGACGAGAAGACCAACAGCACCAGAGAAACAGCACCAGGAAAGCAACAGAGCCTGTCCGAGGCTCACGCTCCAGATTGATGAAGGCGCCAAAGTGTGGTGTGCGGTTGTAGCCCCAGCTTTCAAAGTATTCAGAGTTTTGAGTGTCAGCTTCCGCTCACTCGTGAGGCCTGGGAAGCAGAGCCTACAGGCGCACTCAAAGCCTCAACTTCTCAAAGTCCTACGGGCCTATGGGCAGCGTCGGATCGCCGAATCGCGAGGCTTTGCGACCAACTTCGAAGGATTGATCAAGGCCGAGTCCGCCAACTGCACTGAGAGCCATCCGCCCCAGAGAGAGTGCGGCACCTTCTGGGTCTATGACCTGGATGACTTGGAGGCAGGGAAGCCCAAGGCTGACGTGGCGACAGCGAGTGCGCTGCAACAGGGCGAGAGAACCGAGCCCGCCAGGACACTCCCTTGGATGGGGTGGCCACTGCGGCCGACTATACTATCGCGTATCAGTTTAGCAAGGATGAAGCTTGGCAGAATCTAGGAGTGCTTGTTAGGATACCAGCCACTGCCACATGAGGTGCAGATCACCCTCTCGGGCCTCAAGGAGAACACCACCTATGGCTACATCTACTGCTTTGCAGAAGACGATGAGGTTGATGGCGAGTCCCTCAGGATCCCTCAGGCTTTCTTGGCACAGATCACGTGAAGAGTGGAATCAATTGTTCGCCTTTTGAGGAATGGGCTCTTTGCCCAACAAGATGTACTATGATTCAACATCTGCGCCAGCTGGATTGTCTAGCGACAGTCTTTTGGTTACGGTCAAAGACGCAGTCGGTCCGGTCACCACGCTCGATGAATCTCCACCTGTATTCACTGAGCTCTCCTTTCTGGATCCAGTCAGCTGCTCAGTTCGGTTGCAGCTGGTGTTTCTAACATCCTTCCGTCTCAGGCAGATGGCGTCATCACTGCAACCTTTGCCTTGAATGAGCCTGGAACTGCCTACTGTCGAGCCACGAGGCCTGCCCTGTTTTGTCCTTGGGGGATGGCGATGGCTTCATGTTCAGCTTGCGAGGTCAGACTCCGGGGAGACGGCCGAAGACATGCACATCAATCGCATTTTGGCCGCGGGGTGGTCGGCAGTGTACTCTGACAGCCCCGCCACCATTTCGATGACGCACATTCGTAGCTCTGCTCCCTTGGACTCGCCCCACGTTCCGATTCTGGGCTCCACTCAGTACGACGTCTACTGCTGGGCCAAGGCTTCCGTGCTTCCATGAAAAACAGCCCGGTGTTTGAAATCGTAGGGAATGTATGCAGCTATTGCAACCGAAGAGTAGCCCTGCTACCAGTTTGTAAAATCCTAGCTTAATCTTTGGCATAGTGATCTGCTACCAGGTTTGTTGAATGAAATGTAAGGCTGTTCAATGCAAAGGCTGGCTGGGCCTGAAGAGCAGATGGACGGCCAGTGAAGACTGTTCTCTCTTCTTAAAGGATATCGGTAAGGGATGTTGCCCAACACATGCTTGGAGTGTGACTATATGTGTGTATGTACACATGTTTGTGAGAGGACAGGTTGTGCGCATGTTTGCGGGCACAGCAAATGCAGCCCCTGGCTGGAGGACAATGCTGTCAGCACACTGGGCTTTGAACGGCCAAACTACATGATGCAGGAGTATGTCAGCACTGCAGTCGGAGTTCCTTCTTTGCCTATGGGTGGAGCAACAGCAGGGGTGTGGGTGGCAGATGTCATTCCTCCTACCATCATTTTTGTGGCATCCGAAGCTGTTTCGAGCAATACTATTCAAGTCACCCTGCAATTGGATGAGCCTGGAACCATATGGACGCTTGTCAGAATTTTGCCCATTTTGATACAGTCCAGGGTAAACATGAATGGGGCAAGCACCGATCGACGCGGCATTGAGGTGCGCTGCTGCTGAGACTGATTCATCAGCTGACATCAACTGCAGGGAGAGTGACATGCAGGCGCGGATTTTCTGGAGCAACGCTGAGGCAAGTAAGTAGAAGTGAGCATGTGGCAGAGAGGGAGAGGAGTTTCATGTTTCCGTGCTGAAGGATAGCCAAGCCGACCAAGATTGCTACTATGAGACTCATGTCAAGGGCACTGATCTGGCGATGGTGCACACAGCATTCAGAGACGTCGACATTGAAATCAGCAGGAGCGACTCCCCAAGAGCAGCAAGCTTGCTGCCGGCTGCATGTGAACTTGTGCAGGATCTGGGCTCGCAATCGGACCAGCAGCAGCTCCTTGCTGTGCTTTCCCAAGTTGACTTGAGCTCACCTGCCAGCAATAGCTGAACTGCCTTTTGGGGGGCTTGAGTGTAGCTGCACTGCTTCGTAGGTGTCAACAGCACACACTGCATATACAATCCAAGCTCTTCCAACTCAGGCCAGAAACGACTTATTATATCTTTTGTTTTGCTGAAGATGACTGGGCCTGCCTGGCAAGAATTGATGTGATTACAGGAGGGCCTTTCCGCCTTTGCCTATTCTCCTCCTTGGCAGGTATTGCAAAGCGCTGGGGCATCTGTAAGCCCGAACTTTGTTGCGCCCAGCAGACCAAACAAGTCGAGTGAAGCTTAGTTTGCGGCACAGTTCGTGGATGTAGTTCCGCAACTCGGTGGATTTTGCTGTGGTGAAGGCCTGAGTATAGCACTGAGGCCTTTCCCGCAAATCCAGGCACTAGTTGCGGAGATCGGTGCCAGGATGTGGATTTGGGTTGAGGCATATCACGTCCAGTCCAAGCGGCGGGTCAGCGCAGGACCACCTTGGATGAAGCTCCGCCAAGCTTCACCAAGCTGGCCATCCAGAATTTTGTCGGCATTTGCTGCATATCAGTCAGTCTTGAGACTGCCATTACCCAGCTTCAATTCTTCATGTTTCAGTACAACAGGAATCCTACAGCAGCCAACGACCGCATCGTGATCACTTTTGCACTCAATGAGCCAGGGACCGCATACTGTCGCAGCCTAAGTGACTTGGACCTAGGCTTTCCAACAGGCTACCCTTGCGATCTTGGCGCCCAGGCCGCGCACGGCGAGTCGACGCGGGGACCTCCAGCATGAAGATTCCCGACATTCTGGCAGCGGGCTGGTGGGCTTCTTTCTCTGGCACCGAAGAGACCATTGTGATGACACAGATTTCTCGGCGGCCGAGCTGCATGAATGCTTCATGCAGGTTTGCAGCATATGCAATGCTCATTGGCTCTTGCTCACTCACTTGTATGCAAGGCCGGACCCTGCAATCGGTGCGCTGGACAGTGAGACTATGGCTTTTGATGAGCAGTATCAGTATGACGTCTTCTGCTGGGCAGCTGTCTGAGCGTGCAAGACAGCCGCAAGACAGCCATATTATATATGTTGTTCATCTTCCTGAGGCGCATGATCATGCGCTGGACGGTCGTGGTTTCTCGCGGCGAAATGGGCAGACCGAGTTCTATGCCGGGAACCAAGCTGGTCACAAGCACTGTCAGATACAGTCTGCCTTTAATGTCACTTAGGTCAATACGGATGTGGGCCAGGAGCAGCTCGCCAACGGCACCCTGCCTGGAAGCAAAACATCAGGACTGGACAGTCAGAAATCAACATTCAGTAAATTCGCAACGCATGCAGGAGTGTGGATTGTGGACTCCACACCACCCGACCTCATGTTGGTTCAAGCAGAAGCATTGGGTCTCGTGCTGAGAGTGAACATTTCTGTGTCGCATCGGCCGTCGGCCTAGGTGGCGCGACTTTGCAGGTGCCTTGTGCAGCGTTGCTCATTTTGCTCGTTTGCCTTTTGTGTATCCGTTCCGACTTTGAGGTGCGATTGCAGCTGGATGAGCCTGGAACTGTTTGGCCGGGCCCCAAGGCAGCTGGCGCCACACGCCGTGGCTTCAAGTCGGAACGCGAGGGAACGAGTTGGGCCCATCCCTTGACTCGACGCGTTTCGGCCAAGGTGTGCTGCCACGGACGTCGACTCTGGCGCCAGCAGCTTTTGCAGAGCCGGGGACCTGCAAGGCGCCTCCCCCGCCTTCCCCTGCTACTTTGAGGAGCTGAGCACAGCTGACTGCTTGCTTGCAGAGCTTGCACACAGATTTGTCATAACTAGAATCAAGCGACTTGTTCAACCAGAAGCACTTGGCCTTTTGCATGGCATTGATTTCCGTATCCCGATGTGGAGGACTACATCAAAGGCAACCAAAGCGGTGCAGCCTTCGAGGTCCATGTTCCAGAGGCAAGCGCTTCACAGATGCGTGCAGTGTAGCTTCAGGCATTTGAATGTTGCAGATGTTGCAGAGCCATTGGCCAGCGAGGCTTTCGCCGATGTGGATGTTGAGATCAACAGAATCGTGTACAGGGATATGTCTGCTAGCTCATCTCTTCTTGGCGAAACTCCTTACCAGATCTTCTGCTTCGCAGAAGATGACTGGAAGATCCAGGCGCTTGAACCTGTGCATCATGGTTACCCCGAGTGTCAGGAGTGTGTTCGGCTTGGAATGCGAGATACACATACTTGAAGTGCTACACCGTAGCATCACGTACACTGTCACAGATATTTGTGGAAGGTTTCCGATGTTTCCGCATGTGGATATCAAGGTGTTTTCAGTCAAGGGCCCGTGGAAGAAAGATAGCCTGGTGATAGGCAAGTAAAGCTCCTTGTGCTACCTGGTTGGTCCTGAGCCATTGGGAGAGTACTTGGCATGTCGGGCAGGCAGACAGCGCGAACAATTCCGCTGGCTACGTTTCTCCAGCAGGTCTGGTTTGTCCAGACGTATGTTCATTTTGCAATTGAAGTACACATGTTTATGGCCTTGAGATGCCACACCAGCCTCATGCTTGCCATGTGCAAGGACCACAAGGGACTACTTGGCTCTCTGTCCAGGGGTTCTCGTCAAGCATTGGCAGCTTGACCACCTTGGACGAGGCACAATGATTCATGCATATCATCCAGCCGGATTCTTGCACTCACAGGCATCACCGATCTTCACCAATCTGCAAATCCAAGATCCCACTGCCAGCGAGGGCGTTCTTAGCATCACCCTAGCGTTGAACGAGGCGGGCGCGTGACCTGTATAGCTGCTTGACTCACGGCTTGCAACATACCTCCAGGTTGGAACCGCTTACTGCCGGGCAACACGTAGTGATTCTGGTGAGACTGCCAGCGACATGCCGCTCAACAGGCCTTGCTTTCCAGAGTTGACAACCATGTTTTCCAGAGTATCCCAATGACACTGGCGTTGTCTTGCCTTGTCAGGGTCCTCACTGCGAATTGGTACGCTGTGTACGATGGCAGCAACAATGTGACCATCAACATGAACAACCTAGAGAATGTGGATCCGCTTCTCACCAACCGGGATGATGAAGTAGCACCTCTTGCCGCCGGGACCCAGTACGATGTCTTCTGCTGGGCCCAGGACATCCAAGCAATTTGAAGTGAGCAAAGCGCATGTCGTATGCTGCACACTTCGCTTGATCCCTTGCTTTTGCTGAACATTCCTGCTAGGATTCTGCCGTCACAACAGCCGGTTATGCTCGACCAAACTTCATGCCAGCTGTGTATGTGGCTACCCCTGTGACGTCTCCGACTTCACCAACGGGTGGATACACAAAAGGAGTGTGGATGGGCGACACCACGCCACCCCAGATGTTCTTTACATCCTTTGATGCACTTTCGGAGGACAGCTTGAAACACGAACAGTCGAATACCTTGCTCGTCAGCGCAATCTCTTGTGTCACAGTTCGTGACTTTGCGGATATGTTGGAGGGCCGTCTTTGTGTGTGCCAAGAGGACGCCGTCCTCATCACCCTGCAGTTGAGCGAGCCGGGAACGGCCTGGGCCCTGTCTGGTGTCTCATGCTCAGAAAAGAAGACGCTCAGCCGTGAGAGGTTTGGTGCGCAGCAACTGTGCCGAACGACGGTTCCGCAGCGTACTGCCGGCCAAGCGACTTGCAAGATACTGACACTTCGGCGCAGTGCTATTACGAGGACTACATTAAAGGCCGAGAAAGTCCACAGACACCAAGTGCAGCATGGCTGCCCTCATTCAGGCTCAACGGCACAGGGCACAACCTTCGTGGCAGAGGTGCCAAGCGGCTTTGTGGATGCCGGGCACCCAGTCCCGACTGCAGCGCACTGAATCTTCGGTTCGCGGATTGCAGGTCTATGTTGAAGTGAATCGCATCGCGCTAGCTGCCGTCGGCGGGTCTGGTGCTGGGGCTGCGCTTCCTGCAGAGTGCGGACCTTGGATGTACCAGACAGGTTCTTGAATGGCCCATTCTCCGCGCGAGACAAATGTCCAAGGACCCAATTCATGATGCTGTGCTTTGCTCAAGACAACTGGGATCTTCGCAGTCAAGCAGCCTACTCCAGTGGTATGGCCTGCCTGATTGGGAAAACCCGCGCCGGCTTTCCTCTGTTTGCCTTGGGAGAAACGCAGCGCATGCCAGGCCAGGGCTCGCCAAACTTTGTGGCACCGCAGCCCAACAAAGTCACCTTGGCACAGGCAGAAGACGAAGCGCGACTGACCATGCGTTGCACTGGCGACGCATTGGCCACGCATTGGCCACGCATTGGCGACGCGTTGGCGACACATTGGCGACGCGTTGGCGACGCGTTGGCGACGCGTATGCCGAGTCTTTTGCAGGTCCAAGAATTCCTCGCGGCTGCGGCAGCTGCCGGGGCATCTGCAACCACGCTAGACCTGACAGCGTCATCAGCCCGGTCTCACGATTAGTCGGCTTGCTTTTGCTTCCCGACTGCCTTGAAATGATGGAGAGATCAGGCCCACCGTGACTGCGCGCACGCTCCACGCGCCGCCGGCGTCAGAGTCAAGCCTCGAAGTGGTCTACACCGTGGATGAGGCCAGCTCAAGGAATCAAGTGACTCAAGTTGTGGCGACTCTGGCCATCTTTTTTGACAGGCATCTACGCTTTACTGCCTGGCCCTGGCAAGCGGCACCTCAGCCAAGACTTGATACATTGCCTTCAATTGCCATTTGACTCCGCTCACTTGCCCATTGCATCCCTTGCTCGAGGCGAGGATACACCTCATGTCAGCACGGTTTTTGCTGAAGGGCAGTCTCAAAACTGCAGGGCACCAAGCGGATCCCCGTTGCAGCTCTTGAGTTTCTGGAGAGCATGCAGGAATCGATATCAAGCGGAGTGAAACTGTGATTATGAATTGAAGTTGACAGGCTGTTTGCACAAGACACGTATTTGAGAAGTAAGGTTCTGCTGCAGCCTTCGTGTCCGGAATCTGCCGGTGACTGAGTAAGTGCATAGATGATTGTTCAGAGTTGACCTTTGCATACGAGTCAAAACTGGAGATTCTACAGCCCCTGTCTGGTTCATGGAACTGAGCATTTGGAGCCGTCCATACTTCAGGCTCTGGACTAACTTTGGAACTTCCAGGGCTTCTTCGCGGCGCGTCCTACGAAGTGCATTGCAGCGTGGAGGTTGGAGGGATGCTGTTGCAACCTTGACACTCTCTGCCCCGGCAGGATGATAACATCTATCCGCTGTGACAAGCTCAGAACTGTGGGATGATCGGCTTATGCAGACGCTGCACGCTCCAAGCCTGGTTGACCCTGAGGGTGCCGAATCGGAATAACCTGCCGTTGCTCACGGCGCAAGTGAACGATTTTACCCCGCCGCAGCTGACTGTGGTGAGATCCAGCGCAGCCGAACCGGGTACGATTACTGTGTGCAGAACTCAGACACTACGTCAAGCCGTTGCCGTTTCATTTCCAATGCAATGCAGAATGCTAAGAATAGAAGCCCTCAGGACGTTGCAGATGGACGAGCCAGGCCGCGATGTGTGACACATCGACCTATGCCTGCTCAGCAATTGTATAGTTTGTACTGTAATGCAGTCAATAACGCAATCCACATGAGAGTGCACCCCAGGCACGGTTTGGTGCTTCAGCCCATCAACCATTGGACAAACATTGGTTCCCAGCTGGGTGCGCCGGGAGACGTGGCCGACAGCAAAGAGCTCTCGCGATGATTTGGAACAGGTACTCACACATGGCTACACCACTGAAACAGTGATATCAGAAGCAAGCCTGAACACAGATTTTGAGGCAGGGCCAGCTCTCCGTCAATGAGTCTCAAGCAGAGCTGGTCAGGTGGTGGTCGCTCTGCGTGGAACAAGTGAGCTGCCGCTCATCACCGCACCACCGCCTGAATTCATTGGTGCTTGAGTGACCTCGGATACGTTTGAAGCTGCAGTGACAAGTGCTCTGCCAGGAGACACCCTATGAGACTTATTGCGCCGCTCGCGATACAGCAACAAATCCAAGTTGCACCGATCCCGCTTGTCCCGCAGTTCCAAACTTGAACACGCCCTTTCCTCAGAAGAGGTTCAAGCATGCTGATATTGCCGCTGGCGTTGACTTTGAGGCTGGTGGAGATGCAGACCGTCAGGGACGCAATTGGGCAGGTGATCACTCGTGATGTGGATCCGCCCACTTTCGCCATTCTTGGTGTACGATTCTCAGCATGGCCACATTGAACTACACACGGTGTGACACGGAAACAGAGAGACGGAGAGAGACCGAGAGAGACAGAGACGCAAAACGGCTCTTCCAGATCACCTCCCCCTTCTTTAATGTACGGAGGGGTGGGGGTACGTACATGTACGCGACTTTTGGCTGTGCATTTCCGAGGTGTGCGAGGGGGTCCAGAGGGTACATTTTTCAAGCGGGGAGGGGGAGTGCAGATTTCAGGTTTTGGCTCAACACTTTCAAAAGTACACCCAGGCCTCCCCACACCCGCCTGCCAGTGTACTTTTCTGCGCCCCCTGGTGTCCGAGGAAATCGCTAGCGTGAAGCAAGTTTCAGACAAGCCTGAATCATGTACACCCGAAGGGGGGGCGGAGAGTCTTAATTGTGCGCTGCAGGGCCCCCCCACCCCCCCACCCCAACCCAACATGATGGCCACAAACGGACATGTACAAGGTTGTGTTGGACCCCCGCAAATATCTATCATAGACCTTCCCGAAATGTACAGCGCTGGGGGGGTCGCCCCCTCCAGTTTTAAGGGTTGGTTCTTCCAGACGGAATGAAAGCCCAGGCTCGCGGGGTGAGTGAGAATCAGCTGGTGGTGACCTTGCAGCTGAACGAGCCTGGAACGTCCTACTGCACGGGTCTTACGGACAGGGCACCGTATCCAGGAAATGGCCAAGGCAGGAGCCGCAGAGACAAACTCGTTTTGATGATACACATGCCTGTTACGTCAATAGTTGTACAGTGGTTGCAAAGACTATATGATCGTCAACTCTGCTTGGCCAGTTTTTAGCTACCTAGTTTTGGTGAATGCGCCTCATCCTTTTGTGCGGGCATGACTGTGAAATTAGGCCGGGCTACTCGCACTGATTCTGGATCAACAAGAATGCACGTCTCGCACATCGTGCAAGCGGGGTACTCTGCTGGCAGTGATGCCTCCGCCTTAGATTTCTGCGATGCTGCTGAAGCAAGCCACAGATGCTTGAATGTTCTTCAGGCAGTTGGAACCTCGATCATTGAGATCGATAAGTTGGCAAATCGTGCCGATGAAGATGTCTTGATCAAAGGGACTGCCTACAATATCTACTGCTGGGCCAAGGCGAGGCTTCCGGGCAGCTTTCCGGCAGGGGATTTCCATGTAAGTGATGCAATGCTTAGCACGTCTATCCACAATCACGACCGTCGCGATTGCTTGCCCACTCCCACCGGACCGGACGGGTGTCAAGCATGACTTCAAAACGCCATCATTGTTGAATCGGGCAGGCAACGTCTCGCGCTCCGACTTTCTCTCTCGCTCTCCCTCCCTCTCTCTCTCTCTCTCTCTCTCTTTCAAAGCTATACAGTACTGTAGCCGCCTGTTTCTATGACACAGCCGGCTGCAGTTGAAGACGTCAGGCAACCAACATCTTCAGCATCTCTTAACAGGTCTCGCTTGGCTGGGGGGAAAGCGTTGCCCTTGTGGTTTGTACAGCTTGTCGCGCGCGGTAGTGAACGAGAACCATTGATCGCAGAGCAACCGGTGCTGTGCCAGAGTTTAGAGAGAGCCGGGGGGGAGAAAAGAGGCTTCAGGAACGGTTCTTTTTCGCAGCTTTCTGGTTGAGCAAGATAAGGCCTCCGCGCATTTTGCAGTTTATGTTTGATGACGACAAGTTCTTGATTCAGCTGACATGTTGCTTCGGGGTGCAATACCTGTGGCTGCAACGTAGATGAGCTGCCTCAATGGAAAGAGCTGGAGTGCAAAACTGCACGGGCAGGACAACGCACAGATCCACTCATGCCGACCAGTCGGTGGTGCTGCAGCTTGCAGCTTTGAGGCCCGCAGCTTAGTTCATGGAATCATTGCCCTTGCCCAGTCATATCTTGAAGTGCTCTGTTTAGGGCCACAACTTGACAACGTGTATAGTGTATGCCCATGGTGTGCATCACCTGGTCAGGATGCTCCAAATTATATGGCCGGGAGCCCAGGGAACAAGTGCACGTGAATTTGCCCATGCCACTTGCAAGGTTCAAAGCTACGTTGAGACTCGGTTCTCCCAGCTGGTGCACTCACCAGATCTGGCCGATGCTTCTGGGGGTTTGGTGGACATGGTCCAAGCCTCGAACGCCCGGCATCCGCCCGACGCGCCGACGGCATCGACTTTTTGAGGTGCGGACCTGGGATTCGACTCCGCCGGTCCTTGCGGTCATTGATGCAGAGTCCCGCACGGAGGAGGGAAACTTCAGGGAAACTGGCATGTGACTGACATGTGACTGGCGTGTGACAGAAATGTACCTTGTAATGTAAGTGAGGCTCGTGGGTAATACTGTAAGTGTTAAGAGGACTCCATCACGGTGACCCTCCAGCTCGACGAGCCCGGCACGGCGTACTGCCGGGACCGAAGCAAGCGCTAGCCCTTGGGCTTTTGCATTTGGGGAGAAGTGGCGGCGATTGCCGAGTCGAACACAGCGAATATGTTCCTTTCTGCCTGCAGGTCGCGCTTTCCAGAGCACTGTGGACAACGCAACTTTTGCAGACGTCATGTCAGCACCAGGGGGTCCTTTCAGGCTGCGATTCACGTGTTGGCATGCTTGAGCTTTTGCCCTGTCGGTGGACAGTTGAATGACCCCTGAAATGCACCCTTCGCGATGGATAGCAGTCAACCCAGCAAGGAAGCTTTACAAACCCTGTTAGAACCACCATAGAGATCATAGAGGATATGCAAGTCTGGAAGAGAACGAGTCGTAGTGCTTGCTTGAACCGCCCGGCCAGCTTCGACCTTCCTTCCGACTCAGCTCTGAGAAGCTTCTCTGCTTCTGCATACAGAAACTTTGAGATCACCGTCTCGGGTCTCTCACGCGAGGCTCACGCGTGCATTTCACACCAATGAGCTGATTTGACTGCCCTGAAGGTCTTGTACTACGTGTATTGCACAGCAGAAGACGACGAGCTTTTGGACGGTTGTTTCCAGCGCAATGCGACGGAAAGCCCCTCTTGTGACAACAATCAGGCGTGCACCGGGGATTGTTTTCTGCACCTGAATGCACACGCTCTCAGGCGGATGCAGTGCTCACAGAAACAGCTGGTCGGTGCGCCTGGCCATATTCGCGCTAAGTGGCGAGTTTAGGCTAGGGCAAGTAAGTATTTGCAGAGTGCTCGTCAACTTGTGGCAGGTACACCCTGGACCTGACGCCTCCCAGTATCACGGTCACAGATGCAGTTTCCTACACACAGGCTGGGACCAGCCAGCGAGCCTCTGCTTATCGAGTGATTTTTACAGCCATGACCTTGCAAGGATTCCGTGACCGTCACTGTGTTGATGAGTGAGGTGGGCAAAACGCAGGTATCCATGAAAACAGATAGATCGCAATGCAGTAATGGACAAAAAATGCAGGCTGGAACTGTGTGGTGTTCAGCAGTTCTGGACCTGCAACCTCCACCGAGTACGAATGAAGTCGTTACGCAGCTGAATAGCTTGATATAACGGCAAGATCTTTAACATGGAAACATCGCGTTGGTGAGATGCATACCTTGCTTCTTGCCAAGGTTGCAGCGGGATTTGTAGCTCACGCACTGAATGCCCAGCTCCGAGCAATGCTGTCCATGACTTGACAGCACCATGTGTCTTCCCAGGCTGGCATTGTCAGTGTGGTTGTTCAAGGATTGATTCGGTCTGGGCCTCGAATCATCGGCATGAGTTATATGCCTCGACACAGCTGAGCCACAATCAAAACCCGGATAGATGAAGGCTAGTAAGGGGCAGTCCCAGCCAGAAATAGTTGCGGCCGCCTTCTTAATGTTTTACATGGTTCTGGGTAGACCATTTTAATACCGGGTCTTGATTATGACTCAGCTGAGTAACAGTGGCGCGTAGCACCTCGCTGGACGGATGCCCAGTAAAGACTCTGTGAAGGATTCTGCGTCAGGTTTAAGTCGCAGATGCTCTCTGGGCTCCCACTGACAACAGAGAAAGGATTTGGTTCGACTGATGCGAGACCGAACTCGGATGCTGACAGTTTGTGCAGTTACATGAGCTGCATTGCTCAGGGACACTGAGTACGACATGTATTGTTTTGCCCGGCGCTGATTGTTTCTTGGGGCACGGACGAAGCTTTTGCCGGGTCATGGCTGTGCTTCATTCTCCGATCAAGCGGATTGGGGCTGCAGGCCCAAGATGATGGTACCATGTCTGCGGCAAACAGCAGCTTAGAAGTGCGGCTGTCCAAGAAAAATGCGATCGGGTGCCCTTCCAACTTGGTTACGACTCCGCAGACAAGCTTCGGGAAGCAGGGTTGAACAAACGGCGAGTTTTGGAGCACAGTTGGCTACAATTCTTCATTTATCATCTTACACAACGATGTTTTAGAGAGGCCTTTGCCGGACAACTTGTTGAGTTTGTTGAGCAAGCATCCGGACGCTTCCCGTTTTGGCAGTGGCTTTGTATGGCCAGGTACACAGAAATGGTGGCCACGAAGATGGATGCGCATGTCATCTACGATTCCACTCCTCCGCAACTGCTGAGCACTGATCCTGTTCACAATGCCCCAGCCACAAGCTCAGAATGGAAAGTGGTGTGCACTCTGGCAGTGGGTGCACAAGTAGATGGCAGGTTGTCAGCTTGGTGAACATCACCTTGACCTTTGATGAAGACATCCAGGTTGCTGGCACCTTGGCAGCAATTCTGTTCCAATACCTGGCCAGGCTGGCAACGGCACCGTTGAGCTGCGTGCAACTGGCGAAACTGCCTGGGGCACAGAGACGCAAGCGGTTTGCATCGAGTGCTGATAGTGCTGGCTGGGCAGGTCTCGATTGCCGCAACGGATTTGATCATTTGGAACGCCGCAGCAACCATCGTGCCCTTCTTAAATCAGCTCCCTTGGAAAGTGTTCAGTTTTTGCCATGGCTTGAACATGCGGACAGACTGGCTCGCTTCATGGCGGACTGACTACGGGCAAGACGTGGCGCATTGTTGTGCTGGCTGGCGCCATCCAGGACATTTCAGGACCAGCGCTCATGCCATGTAGACGTCTCACAGACATGCCTGAAGAGCATTTTTGTTGGGTTTGTGCCCTTCACACATTTGAGTGACAACTGCTGAGAGCTGCTGATCCAGAGCATGCAAATGGCAGGAAATCCCTTTGAAGGCATTGCAGACGGATCATACACACTCCAAGCATGACCCAGGCAGGGCAAATATTACACATGTGCGTGACAGCCACGGGGCTTTCCTGGCGCTGCAGTCATACTTTGGCTAGGAAACATGGTAGAAGCATACAGAAGTGGCAGGACTGAGTAAATGGGTTGAGAGCAAGATGTGGGTTGTTCAGTCACCCTTCCACACGCACACATATGCGGACGCCCACAGACGAGCAGGACGAGGCCAACAAGAAGGATCTTTCCAATGCGCCGTTCTGTATCGAAGGGCAAGAGTGTGGGTCTTGCTGCTGCACGGCAGCCAGCAAGTTTTTGGGCTTTTAGCACCTAAAAAACGGTGTTCACGCTCTTATCCTACACTCAAATGTGTTCAATTCCAAGCGGCAGTCTTCTTAGAAGCTATGTGCTCTAGTTGGGGCCTCAAAATTAGAACCTCACAAGTGGCCACTGTTTAAGCATGCCTGAGATCTCATAAGCATGCAGCATGGGCAAGCCAAACAGGAAAGCAGGCCGCCAGGAAAGCAGGCAAGGGAAGCAGAAAAGGAAAGACGGAAGAAAAGGAAAACAGGGAGCAAAAGAAGCATAGCAGCAGCTGGCAGCATAGCAGGTAGGATTTAAAAACACTATGGCGAAAGGGCCTGGCAGGGTGACCGGTCATAAAAGCACCTCGGACTTGCGCTTCCGCTTGCGAAACACTGGCGCGGAAATTGCGTGAAATCTTACGAGTCAAAACGGCAGAACAAAACGCGTATGTCTTTTGGAGCAACCAACAACAACACCCCCCCAGCATATTTCAAAGGCACTGATGCTGGCACTGATGCTTCGAGCCACGAAACTGTTCGGGATGCAAATTCGACTTGAGTGAATCTTGTGAACGCCGCATGCTTGGTTCAATCTTGACATGCCGAATTCCAAGCGGCGGCCTACGTGCCCGAAGACTAACCAAAACCCTGGGATCTCCGAATATATAGTAGGTATGCTTCGTTTTTTTTGACTCAGTCCTACAACAGATATTGTCATTCGGCTTCACACATATTTATATATTTATATATATAATATATATATATATATATATGCCGCCTTGTGGCACGAGCGCGAAAGTGTTTTTTTCAGGCTGAGCTCAGAAGGATCAACACGCGCATGGCAGCGACATATCCAAGACTGCGTGAAGGACGTGAGGAAGCAAGCTCTCCCAGGACAAGCCTTGCCACCTCTTATGTGTTTTCTGCATCCATGCCAAAGGTAGGGGTGTCTTCAACGAACGCCGCAGAGATTTGCCGAAATCTGGAAAGAACGAGCAATGCGCTGAGCAATTTGCTAAGAGAGCTTGATTGATCACATAGTGTCCTTTGGTGGTGCCTCATGCAGAGTTTGGCAGAGAACATACTGTCAACTTTGCGTGACGCATTGCTGATGCTATAGTCGGGAGCCCTTGGCAGAAGGTTCCTTGTCTTGCGCGCCCGCTTATGCTTCCTTCTAGCTGAGTCTGGCTCATGTCAGCTGAATATTAGCAGGATGTGAAACCTTGCCAATGGGATGCAGGTTCAATTGAGTGAGGAAGCTTTGCGCGAAGCTGTGCTGATTGAGACACTAGCACGGCTTCTGCGAGAGAAGGTTGGCGCGCCGGCTGCAGTTGTGCCTCCCTGGCGCCAAGCCCAAGCTGTTCCACCAGCTCCAACAGCTCCAACAGGTCAAGCAAGCGCTGGATCTGGATCTGCAGTGGGGGCTGCATCTCAAGCTGCTGCTCCAGACAGTCAGCCTTCCGATGTGGTGGTCCTGGACGCGACGCAGGAGACGGAGAAGAGGGAAGCGCCACTGGAAAAGTTTATCAGAATTTTCCGCCTCGACGAGCTTGCGGCGAAATGCCTTTTAAAGCTTCAAGACGACGAGGCGGCATTTGTGATTGAGCCCCAGCCTTGATGCTGTGCTTGCCAGATCTTGCAATTGTGTCATTGCGAATGCCTGCGGGCATAAAAAGTAAACCAATGCACTTAGGTCATGCCAACATAGGCTGAAGCACGCGAAGAATCCCTCGGCTGTGGTAATGATTGCCATCAAAGGAGTTGCTGCAAAAGTCGGCCGCAGATACTATGGCAGTCGTGAAACCGCAGAAGGGGGTGAAGCAGAGACGGGTGGAGAACTCAAAATGCCGCCCAGCTAATCAGTGGGCACGTTTTGGAGTCTGCTAGGGGAAATTGCCTCAGGATTGGAGGTTCTCCAGAGGAGTGGGTTGAAACTGAAAAAGCAGGGCTCTCAGACCTGGTACATTTGCCCACACCCACCCACCTTCGCTTCAAGCTCTTGGCTTATGTGCTGCACTTCTTGATAGCTTGCCTCAGTCGCCAGAGCGTTCTGAGGCTCAAACTGATCCGTACTTGGTCGTGGAGGAGGAGGAAGAAGAGGAAGAAGAGAAGATTGTCGACCAAGAGGCCAATGCGAACTGCATGATCCGCTTGCAGGAATGTGCAAGGTGAGGTGCATGGAACTGGGTCGTAGAGAAAATGCGACCGTGAGGTGGACCTGCCAGCCTCAGGCACAAGTGTGATGTAGGAGAGGGCCAAAGACTGAGTATCTATCCTATCCGATGCGCAGGTGTGGAAGAGCCGCCACCAAAGCGGCCACGCACAACACTCGAGGAGCCCTTGACAGTGGAGGCCAGTGTAGTGTCCTAGCGTGGTTCAAGCAACCACACTTGGAAGGTGCTGCCTGGCACCGAGGATTCGAACCCCGTACCTCAGCCTGCAGTTTCGTTTGTTGTTGTTCATGAATTGATATCCTGTCACAAGGACGCAGAAGAGGACAATGCAGACGCCTTGTTTTTTGTCGATACTGGTGGGGCCAAGCTCTTAGAGTGCGTCTGGTGACGAACGAGTTGCGTCTCAGCATCCCAGCAGTGATTCCAAGGTTTGACGTCTACCTCCGTAGGAATTATTCTTCGACACTTGGGCAGGTGCCAAACCTTGGTGGATTTACAAAGCTCCTTGGTCAAGCGAACACTGCGATCCATTGGCATTTGGGATGCCCGCTAAACTGCGCCGCAACGGCGCTATGCCAACGCCTGCGTCGTACGAGACCGTGCGGTAGAAAAGCAAAGACACTCAGTGTGCAAGGGTTTGGCACAGATCACGATGTCTTGCAAAAGCGGCATGTGGCTTTCTGACTTTTTGCTCAGAATTTAGACTGGACAGACATGGAGGATGTCAACATGTTTTTCCACAGGTACCCTGACCACTCAGGCTGATCATGAGCACCACTAGCATTCCAAAAGCATGGAATACCAGTACCGTGTATACATTTCTTTTGAGCTGAAAGTAAGCAAGAACTTTGGGGTAGATGGGCTTGCCGCCCAAAAATGGCTCGGATCGACCCAGACGTCTAAGCAGAGCTGCCTCGCTGAGGGCCGACATTGTGGCATCGCGGCAACTGTGTGACAGCCTGAGACAGGTCAATCGTAGCCGAGTCATAGCTGTACACGCATACACTTTGTAGTCTGTGAAATTCTGCGAGGCCTTGCTTGCCAGGAAGTCAAGGAGCTGGCTTCAGAAGGTGGCACAGTGCGACAACCACAGGGCTGGCAGACTCTGCCTGACAAAGGATGCACAGACTCCCGTCCGGGGGGCTGTGAAACCTGTGGGCTGATGCCCTTGGATTCGAACACCCAGCCCGAGCGAGGCAATGCTCAGAGCGTCCCCAAGAAGCCAAAGCACGAAGTCCCGAAGCCGCTTCGCAGCCCAGTCGGGGATTTTCTGAGCCTTCTTGGCATTCCTCGCTATGCCGAGCATTTCACAAATTTGGGCTTGGTGAGCTTGGCGCAGCTCAGCAGGCAGGATTGTGAAGCGCTTCATGCCTTGTTACCTTGTGCATGGCTTGTGCATATGCCGACATGCGCATGGCAACCTGTGACTTGCCCAGGCTTTCTGATGAAGACCTGGTGAAGCAGATGGAGTCCATCACTTTTTTGCCAGGCCAATGATTTGCCAACTGCCATTTGTCATATTCGTCCTTTGAACGTGGCCGTAAGATGCCGTAAGGCCATCAAGCCAGATTGTTCCGCGGAGTACAAGCCCTCCGCGAGGCCGCTTTGCTTGGCGTGCGAGATGAGGCCGGAGTGAATGGCAATGGCAATGGCGATGTCGGGTGTCCAGGCCTCGAAGGCAAGAAGCCAAGCCATGCTCTGGCCTCGAGCAATGTTGAGGCTTTGAGTCTGCTAAGCATGTTCCCAGGATGGCGCGCTTGTGCCAGCGGAACCAGGAGACCCACCAGATTGGGTATTTCACCTTGATCAGACCCTGTTTGCCTACAAGTGACCAAGATACTGCAAGAACCTCATGGGCTTATGGGCTTCAAGATTGTCAATACCCGAATGTATCGTGCACATCCATCGACATGCCAGTTATATCCTGAGCATCCTCATCTCCTCCCTCAGTTTCAATCTCTTTAACTGCTGATCACGTCCGCTTCAGATCCCGTGCATGAATATGTCACCTGACGGCCAAAATTCAATGCTCCACATTTTCTTCAATGCTTTCTGTCCCACAAATGGCCACAAGGTAGCTTCCTGTTTGGTTTAGGACTCCCTTTGAGGAAGTGCATTCCCAATGCCTCCTGGAAAGGGACCTTTGGAACATGTGGCCCAACACCCTCCGCTGGGAGTGCCGAACATAGTTTTGACTCTGACAGCCGTCTAGTGTCTGGAAGGGCTGAACTTCTCCAGAGGCGTCACCGTGGGCTTTGATCTGCGGAGCCTTGATCTGCGGAGACCTTCAAGTTGCGGGATTTTGGTGTGACAGACGGAAAGTGAGTCGACTTGCTTCTCTCCTTCTCCACAGCTCATGTTGGCCTTCTAGCTGCCAGAAAGACGCAGACTCCTTTGCCCGATCTACATGGCACTCTGCTCGGCATTCAACTATTTTAGGGCCACAGCCTGTACGTGTGAAGCATCCATAGTGTATTGCTACATGACAAGACAGGTCAGTTGTTTATGCCTGTTTATGCTGCATCCAGCAAGTCACGACGCATCTCCGCATCTAAGCCCATGAGCTCTTTGTTCTACTCCGTTTAGCACCTTCTTCAATCCACCCGCAGGTCAGGTTGGCTGGTTGTCAGGTTGCCAGCTCAGATCAAAGCTGTTTCACGGTTAACGACGAGGAACGCCGCCTTCTCATTTTGCAATTTGTAAGGTGCTTTCATATGTTCATGATCTGGCGTACAACCGACCCGTGAAATTTCTGCGATCTCTCAGTCCGATTCGTGCCTGTGTTCTGAAGGCGGATGCTCGTTACATGTGAACAAAGCACAATAACACAACTCGCAGAGCTAAGAATGGAATGTGTGCCCGTCGCGAGGAGTTGGTTCAACAGTGTAGCCAGAAGGAGCTGCAGATGAGATCCTTGCAGGAGAAGCCGACGATTTGCCAATTTTCAAGTTCCTTGACCACAGGATGAGAGGTCACAACAAGTTGAGCGGCTGGAGCACTACCAGGGCCGCAACGCAGAGTTGTCTGAGGTTGTGAAGACGCAGGTCGGAGACTGGGCATACGGCTCGCATGCAAACAGCTGTAGCCGCGATGTCAGGGTGAGCAAGTGCGCTTTCTCGCAGACAAGCTTCAGATGCGTTGGCCTTGCACTGGAATAGGAGCAGTTCATGCGTCTCAAGACTTAGGACTTTGAGCCAGCCTGCGAGTATGTCGGGTGTGGTTTCATCGAGCAAGCTGAGACAGCCGCTCATAGACGCACAGACTCAGACGATTGAGTCATGGCCAGATGATGCGCGGGACGAGGATGAGCAGGTCTTGTCAGCAGTGCGCCATGAACCATGTACTTGGAACGTACGCCCGACAGACAATGTGGATGCTATTGTGAGCTCTTGCGCAGTTGCAATTCAAAGCAAGATGAGGCAACCTTGATGCAGTATTCGAAATATTTCACAAGGATGCCATGCGTATTTGGTTGCAACACGCTTTAACAGCTTGAGTGTGATTGAGGCAAGACCGAAGTCCAGACCAGACGGATCAGATCTTCTGCAGACCAGGCTGGTGCAGTCATGCAAGATTCGCACATAGCGCCACACAGCGAGGCGGCAACCTGTTGGAATGCCTGAGCCTCAGCAATGTCACGGCCTGAGATCCCAGAATCTGATTCTCAGGTCCTGGGCAGTACGAGATTGAAGAATTCTTGCTTGACACTTGGGACCACGTTCAAAAGAAGACAAGACGAGATGACCAACAAGGTAAGAATATGCTTTGCTTTGCTATGGTTCGAGACTCAGTGGTCACAACATGACAGTGATACCTGCCCAAATAGATTGTAAATCGATTGCTTTGCAAGGCGCTACTACTCATCTACCTTGGGCGCATGTCAGACTCTGAACGATTGATTCTGCGGGTGCAGAATTGGCAACGCATCCTCTTTACCATCATGTATCTTGCCGCCCAGGCGCTGTTTGCTGTTGCTCGCGGCTAATTTGTTGTCGCTCAGCCTGGGAGGCTCTCAAATTGCAGCCCTCAAGTGATATCTACTCAGAAGAGGAGATCCGGTCTTTCACTGGAGCGCTGCTTCATGTGACTGAGCCCATAGCTCACGCTGATGCAGAAGCAGCCCTCGATGACTTGCATTGCTCGGTCTTGGTTCAAGATCTTCTCCGCCTAGTGTCTTAATGCTGACAGATCACATGCGAGCAACACGCTTGTGGTGATTTGCAGCTTTTCCCCGCCTTGTGCATTGGCGACGGCTTTCCAGAACATTTGAATCCAGCTATGTTCAAGTCATCAGCTGCTTCGGTTCAGGGTGTCACGGCCAAGTGCTGGGGAAAAGGAATAAGATCCGCCTTTGCTTCTGTTGAAGCTCATGAGTCATACCTTGGCGTGACCTGACTGGCTGGTTTGACCTCAAATCGGTATTGGTTCAGAGGGGGCTGGGGTCAGAATTAGTGGCGGGCAGCCAGTGCTGAGAGGACTTACTCAGTTCAACGTGTGTGTGTGTGTGATGCGCTGCTTGTTGACATGTGTGTTGACGAATGTGTCTTGACTTTTGTCAGGACTTGAAAGATGGGGGTCGTGACGGGGCCATTGGATGCGAGGGTGTGGCATCAGAAGACCGAGCTGAACTTGGCGCCGGACTTTGCCAAGATGGCAGCTGCCATGGCAACTCCTATCATGCCTTCCGTGCTGGCACCAGTTCCCTTGGCTTTTTCCGATTCAGTGCTCGGCACTGCTGCCACATCGGGTTCACATCCTACGCCCTCAGACCTAGCCAAGTCATCTTTTCCACCCATGCTTGCCTTTTCCACAGGGCCATGTCCCGTGGCTTATCCTGTGACCCACCCTTCCGTGGGACCTGTGCCAATGTCCTTCACCGTGCCCAGTGCAAGCCCAAAGGCCCGATATGGCTCTTCAACAAGCAGAGCTCAGCTTAGTCTTTCACCGCTTGCAACAAGACCAGCGACGGCAATGGCTTCATTTGGACAGAAAGAGGCAGTACCCTCGACTCGCATTGACGCGCAGCGGCCTGAGTGGATCGCATTTGAGTGTGTATATACAGAAATAGAAGCAAACTTATGCCTTCGGCTCAGGCCGTCATTTGGCGATCTTAGGATGTGTCTGAAGGGATGGAAGGGATGTACCCATTGCGAGTTTTGACAGGGCAATGCCGAAAGAGGTCTTTCCGTGAGGCGAAGCCAAGCCTGGGTTGAGTGCGGCTGAAGGTGTCTTTCCCGGTGCGCGAAATTTCAGAGACGGACATGACATGACACGATCCTAAATTTACCCGTCGCATGACATCTTGGGTCCTGGCTTCCGTTGGGCCCCTGACCTTTGGGTGGACAGTCGCCAAATCCCTGCGCAGTCCGGAAGATAGGAAGTGGGCCAGAGTAGGGGGGTTCACTCGCAACGCGGAACGAGAGGAGAGCGAACTGTCTTTTTCTTCCCCGCTTCTTTGTCCCTTGACTGGCGAGGCAGGCTAACGAAAGGAGAGAACAAACAGATACTGGTAACATCTATTCGCCTAGGATCGTCAGTAGGTCATACAGGCTTGTGGATAATCTCACTCCAAGGCAAGAATGAGAGCGCAATCATCTCTTTAGTCGTCTTTTTTCTTTCCCTTCCTTGATTCCTTGCCTCTTGTCTCTTATGCCGCAAAGCGTGAACAGCAAGGGACGAAGAGATGGGAAGTTAGTGAGTGGGTGGGTGACCAGCATTCTCTATTCACGAGTTATCCTCACGAATAAAAGGAAAAGATAAGATAAGTGAGTAGCGTCTCTCCATTCAGCTGGAATGACTTCCTTGACCTGGAGGAGAGGATCGGCACTACGCGACAGGAGATGGTTAAGAATGACATGCAAGGGTTAGCGAGAACATGAACGCAGAGTTGGATCTGAAAAGCTCATCAGCTTGGGAACTAAATGCAACACGGAATGGAGGGAGATGGATGTAGGACGATGAATGCCAGGCAGTAGAAAGGAGAGCCGGAACATCCGATCATTTGCCATCGCTTCCTTCGTTTCCTTCGTTTCCACTTTCTCCACTTTTTGTACTCGCCAGGAAAGGACCGAGGGAAGGATTTCGAAAATAATTCGCGAACTCAGTCTCCTATACGGGGTAGACTCAAGTCGCATCGGCTTGTCTAAAGTCGCATCAATCGCGCGTGGCCAACGGGGAAAGCATCATGCAGTGGATGGGCGGACAAGCATTCCGTCACTAGCCAAGCCATACTTGTTTTACAAGCGAAGAGATAGAAGATTACCTGGCACCTGTTTCCTGTGTCTTTTATGTTGCTTGCCGGGAATTTCGGGGATTCAAACTGAGAGAAAATGGAGATGCAATGAGATGTAGAAGATTAAAGGAGATGGTAAGCCTTGATAAAACGACATATTCGGGCATGTAGTTGTCTTTATCATGCTCATCGTTTTCATATCATACATCGCAATTTCTTTTTTGTTGCTGTTGCATCAGAATTTTGCTGTTACCTGTTTTTAATTATGCACATCTTGACATCTGTTCAACATCTTGGACGTGATGACATGCGGAAGATAATGAAGGTGACGGAAGAAATCAGCAACCAATACGCTGCATCTTTCATCTCTTTCCCCATTCATGCATTCATCCATTCATCCAGCCGCCCATTTCTTAATCCATCCATCCATCCATCCATGCATGCATGCATGCATCCATCCATGCATGCATGCATGCATGCATTCATGCATTCATATATTCATGCATTCATGCAGCCATTCATTCATTCATTCATTCATTCATTCATTCATTCATTCATTCATTCATTCATTCATTCATCCATCCATCCATCCATTCATTCAGCAATGAAATGCAAACGATCTCACCCATTGTGCGTTGCTGCAGTTGTGACATGTTGTGACGAAGCATGTTACTACTGCTGTGTAGACCTCTTGAACAGGGTGCTGCTCAGGTCCAGAGAGCCTCCATCAGCTGAAAAGGAGCGTGCGAGCTCCGCACACACGGCGTCCACAGCTTTTTCAGGCTTACCCTTGCGGGCAAGACTCGCAGGCAACGTAAGGTCAGGACCGCTTTCCAGACAAGCAGCCCATCGCCAGTCTCAGCTCGAAGCTTTGCTAAATGGTTTAGTGCTGAACTGAACCCGAAGCAGTCCTGTTCCACCAGAGGTTGCCCGTGCACGTTTCTCGAAGATCCCGAGAGCGACTGTTGGCCGCTTGGCAAAAAGATGCTCCATGAGCAAAAGGACGCAAATGGGCCTGAACGACTGAACGACTGTGGGCGGTGTGCGCAGACACAAGCGCACGACACACAGCACATGCAAGCACGTGGACGCAGGCTTACCCGGCCCTACTTACGCGCACAAACAAACAGACCAAGAAATAAAGAAAGAAAGAAAGAAAGAACGAAAGAAATACGGAAAGAAGGAAAGAAGGAAAAGGAAAGAAGGAAGTAAAGGAAAGAAGGAAAGACGCAAAAAGAAAAAACAGACAGAAACAAATCAATAGAGAAGCAAAGAACTAGCGAAGGAAAGAAGGCAAGAAAGAAGAAGAGAAAAAGGAACGAAAGACATCAAGGATAAAGGAGGACAGACACAAGAAACCAAACAACCAAAGAACCAAAGAGCGAAACAACCAAAGAAGCCAAGAACCAAACAACCGGGAAAACAAAGAAAACTCTCGAATAATGCAACCAGCCAAGCAAGCAAGCAAACAGACAATCAAGCACGCAAAGACCACACAAGCAAGCAAGCAGCAAGCACAAGCAAGAGGGCAAAGAAAGAAGCGAAACGAAGCCAAGCCAAACCACACCATAGCAAGCCAAATCAAGCCAAGCCAAACCAACAAAACAATCCAACAAGCAAACAAACAAACAAACAAACACACAAACAAGCAAACAAAACAATCAAACACGCAATCAAACAGGCAAGCAAGTAAACCAACCAACCAACTGATCGACCAACCGACCAGCCAAACAACCAACCACGCGAGCAAGCAGGCAGGCAGGCAGGCAGGCAAGCAAACAAACAAACAAGCAAGCACTTCCGCCCGTTTGCCCGGACGCGTGCGCACACACACAAAACGCACAAGCAAAACATGCACAAAGTGATTTTTTACATTCACACGACATGTGTGCATACAGGCGCCTTGAGCTGGATCAAAACCGGATTCACAAGAATCTGGTAGCGGAGCACTGGCTCCTGCTAGGACGCACGGCCCCTGCGGGTCACACCGCTTGCTCGCCCTCGTGGCGTTGCCAATGGACACGAGGCTGATCCTGATCACCTTCCTGTTCATCCTGACCGCTGGTCAGAGGTTTTCACCGCCCACCTGGACTGAGGAATTCGACCGCATGGCCCAGCCGCAAGCCAGCACAGGGATTCCCCTCGGCGAGTTTCGCAAGGATTGCCCGCCGGGCTGGGGTCCCGGCCACGCTGAATATCCCTTGAAGTTGTTCTTCCAGAAGCTCAGACTTTGGTACAGAACATAATATGAAGGACCAGACGAATGCGTAGGTCCTCTCGTTGCTGGAAGGCTTCAAGGGCAAGCTCAGCGGCTGGCACTGGAGTTGAAGTTGATTCGCCCGGACGGCACCTATGATCAGGGAGACGACGCATGGACCCGACCGTCATCTTGCAGCATGGCATACCATCGGGTGTCCAAGCGTTGTGTGACAGCTTGAGGGACTGCTTCGGACACACGGATGAGGAGCAGACCACGAGAGCACTTGACGCTTTCTTTGAGTACTGCAAGCAGTCCAGCCAGACCCTTGCTGAGTTCAACACGGAGTGGAACCTTCGCCTGGAAGATGCACGGAACCGAGCAGGTCTGGAGCTCAACCGAGTGGCGTGCTCATACCTCTGGCTGAAGCAGAGCACGCTGTCACAGCGCTACATGGACGACCTTCGTCTTCAGGTGCAAGGTAATCTTGGACGGTTTGATGAGCTGCGCACGTTGGCTCTACGTCTTAGTCACCGACATGACCAACATGTCAGCAAGGGCGACATCTTCTACGAGACCGAGAACGACGAGGGCGAGAACAGCTGGCCATCGGAGGCCTACGCCTTTTACGATGACGACTGGGGGGCCGAGCCATTTTGGTCTTGGTCTGAAGACGACTACTACTACTATGGCGACTACGACTATGAGGAGAACGAGCTCTATGAAGGCTTCGACTACTACGAGTACGACCCCGCCTCGGAGCCCCAGGAGGAGAACGAGGGCCACAAGGCGAACATGGAGGAGACCGAGGAGAACGAGCTCTACTACAAGGGCAAGGGCAAGAAGGGCAAGTCTTCTGGAGCCATGGGAGTAGGCTGCTACATCTGCGGCTCCAAGTGGCGCTACGCCAAGGACTGCCCCGTGGCCGAGAACAACAGGCCCTACGGCAAGAGCGATGGAAAAGGACGTGGCTTCCGTGCAAAGGGGACGTCGAAGGGCAAGTTCGGCAAGGGCAAAGGCAAAGGCAAGGGGAAGTTCCGCAAGGGCTACGGCAAGTCATGGAATCCCAAAGGCAAAGGAAAATCCGGAAGCTACTTCCTCGACAGCCGCTATGACACGCAGATTCGCCACGCCCGAGAAGGACTTGCCATCGGAGGAAGGCTTGTGCACTCTGCCGTACTCAACGCACGATCTGCATCAGTCGGTCATGCAAACACGGAGTACTACGACCTGGACAGCGAGCCCCTTGTCAGAATCGAGAAGCAACGTCAGGAAGAAGATCGTGACGTTCCAGGACAATCCATGGACCTCATCTACTACCAGCACTTCCTCCTCTGCCAAGACTGCCCCGAAGGCCGATGACATCCTTCGCTCTGGACGAGAATGGACAAAGAGAGCTTCTACCTCATCTACCGCAACAGAAGACGGTCAAGAACCTCTCTTTCCACACGCAGGTCATGTGCAACACCAACGTTCAGACCGATGCCCAGGAGTTGACCGAGATCTTTCACTCTGTCAGGACTGGAGTCATCGACGATGGTGAGTACCAGGTTGACAGAAGTGACCTACGGGAGTGTCAAGCCGACACTGCTTCAACTGTTAGCAGTTCAGGAGAAAGGAAGCAAGAACTTCCCGGTGGACGCGTACACGGACTGCCGGGACTTCTTTGAGCTGTGCACAGGGCATCGAGCCCTACCTCAAGACAAGAGTCAGAGGATCTACATCATGGTGCATCGTGAAGCACGTGCAGCTGGACGGTTGAGGTGGATTGGTTTAATCCCCACGGAATGCATGACATCAGATGCATTGACGAAGACTATGACGTCAAGTTGTTTGATGGAGCTGTTGACTTCGGGAAGAGTGCGCTGTTTCGATGCGGGCCACAATGTGGAGTTGAAGAAGTTGCCGGAACTTGAGGACTTTGACGAGGAGGACCTCATCGAGGGAGACAAGAAGCTGACGGAGAAGAGGAAGAAAGAGACGAAGAAGGCTGACGCCTACTGGTGCTACTTGGTGGGAGCACCCTGGCTACACCAGCCGAGAGGCATGTTGCTGTACGGCATGGTCACCCTGGCAGCCAGTACGGCCACAGATGAGAGAAAGGAGAACCTGGAAGACACGAGCTACCTACTTTGGTACATCGCGATTGCCATCATCGTTGGAACCGTCATGGTGGAGCATTTGTTGAGCACATTGCTGAAAGCTGTGAATCAGAAGCGGACGGACGCTGGAACTCAGACCCAGCGCCGGGAACATTTGGAGACCTTCACCATGCGGGGCAACCCTACATCAAGGACAATGAGCACAACTACCCGACCTGAGAGCCTCGTGGTTACGAGGAGCGGGAATTGCTACCACAAGAAAGATTGTGGTCATGTACGTAGTCGCGTAGTCGCAACATTTGAGCCGTGCAAAGACTGCATCGGCTGACAACAACTCCGAAGCAGAAGCGGAGTGATTTTTTACATTCACACGACATGTGTGCATACAGGCGCCTTGAGCTGGATCAAAGCCGGATTCCCAAGAATCACGTCCAATCACACAATGTATGTGTTTTTCCTGGATCACAGCACGTCGCGCCCAGGCTTCCAAGCCAGTATTGGCTTGGCTCCAGAAGCCATGCTGCCAGGGCAGGCAAGAGAGTCATGTGTGCAACCAGACTTGGCTACATAACTTCAAGATCAAGTCAGCACTCCCTGAATGACTTCACTGTCAGGTATTGCGGCATCCGTCACAAAAGCTCCAGATGCATAGAGTCATGCGCTCACATTGGGCTGGCTTGGTTGTCGTTGAGACCGCGCGTCCACAAGGTATTGATTTGGCACTGCCGTCATCCGCATGGGCTTTTCTCGATGTTCTCACTGGCTTTGGGCCATGCAGACTCTTGCGAGAAGCAGGGCCTTGGACTGGTGGTGGATTGGATATGGCCTCAGTGTGTTCCATGGAGAACTCACGGCCACAGCACGTGTGTTGCGAGGTCTTCCAGCGATTTGCTTTACTCGGGCCCGCCTGGGGAGCCCAATCTTTGGAACGCATTTTTTTGCCAACCTGCTGAGCTCAAGATCACACCAGAGGTGCCACGCCCCAGCGGAAGTTGTGGGAACTCTTTTTGGTTGCAGGCCTTGAGCCAGGCGATCCGCTTTGGACAGTGCCCGGCCTCAACTTGCGTTGCAAATCGCAGACCGGCCGCAATCTATGAGCCACTAAGGTTCGTAGAAACCAGCAAGCACAATGTGGTTTGGGGGGCATACCGCGGTGTCATCCAGGATGTGCGATAGTGCGCATGCTCACCCAAGCTGGTTGTACCGCCGGCGCATGTGGATGCCCCGTAAAAGCCGACGCATTTTCTCCTCGAGCCAACTTGCCAATTTGCTGGCCTTTTTGTGCACGATCTCCAACAATGCGCCAGATTTCCTGCACAAATGCACATGGCGAGGACTATGGAGATATTCCTTTGCATCAAGCCGCGCGTGGACGTGCCTTGTGCAGGCGCAACATTGTTCTCCGCCCCAGGCAGGATGGCTTGTGCTGTCGCATTCATCAATCCTGACCATGCTTTCCGAGATGCACACTGAGGGGGCGTGACATGCTTACATCTCAACATTTTTATACATTCAAGAAGAAAAGAAGGTTGAAAGTTGAAACGTCGAATGAGTGCAAGCGTTTAATTTCAACCCGGTACCCGACTCTGAGTTGCCTGGAGCGGCAGGTTCCAAGAGAAATTGGAAAGTGCAATGGAGCATTTGCCGGAGGGGAGACGATTGGCGGCTGACGCCTCAAACATCGCAATGGGCACTGGCTCCATTTGGCTCAGTTGCATAGGTACACATTCGGCGAAGTGACAAGGCAAGCGAAGCAGCTGCAAACTTTGAACTTACGGACGAGGGCTTGCTCGAGCGAATCCTTGCTCAGCCCATACCTGAGTCAATCAAGGCACACGTTGCAATCTCAAGCTGTCCTCACTTCAACAGTTGCGTCAAGGTGCAGTTTGGATTCGAAAAGCACAGATCCCTTTGGGTGTTTGCGGCTCTTTCCGCCGAACTCGACTACCACACATCGCAGTGATTCCTGAACCATGCCCCCGGCTGTTTTTCTCTCCTCCATGTGGTTTGTTTGAATCGTTGAACACGTGCTGAACCAGCTACCTCCGTACCGGAGTCAGCTTCGGCTTCAGCTGAACTAGATGCTTGGTAGCTGTGGAATGTAGAAGAAAGTTGCAGCTGCCAGTGCTGCAGCTGTAGTTCTCATTGTCACTATTGTTCATTGTAGTCGTAGTAGTAGTAGAAGTAGCAGTAGCAGCAGTATTAGCAGGAGTAGTAGAAGAGGAAGAAGTAGAGGTAGTAGCAGTAGTAGTAGCAGCAGCAGCAGGAGTAGTAGTAGTAGTAGTAGTAGTAGTAGTAGTAGTAGTAGTAGTAATAGTAGTAGTAGTAGGAGGTAGTAGTAGTAGTAGTAGTAGTAGTAGTAGCAGCAGCTTCAGTAGTAGTAGTAGTAGTAGTAGTAGTAGTAGTAGCAGCAGTAGTAGTAGTAGTAGTAGTCGTCAACGACTGGCAGACGCTGCGTGGTTGCTTGTGTTTTGCACATTATGAGACAGTTATGTTTGCTTGTTGCCAGCATGTGGAGACCTAGGCCCCGCGTTGCGCGTTGCAGCCCCAGAACCAAGAGGCTAGGAGGAGATCGTTTGAGATTCTGAAGACTGCATTGCGAGCACATCGGAATAAGCAAGCTGGACATGGGTGTTTATCGGTTGGCTTCAGCCTACCTCCGCTTCTCAGCCAACAAATAACAACCATCGCAGATGCTGTGGGCGCTTTTGATTTAATACTGCAATTGGTTGCTTTGCTGGGGATTTGGCGAGGGTGGGGGGGGGGGTACGGTCGCCATAAGATATATTATTCATAGTTGAACGCAATCGCTGCAAAGAGGGTGGTAAAAAAATAACGGTCAACTGAAATCAGTTGCTGAGTGGTTTATTGGGTGGGTTGGGGATGGGGGTAGGGCAAAATGTAGTCAGAGTAAGCAGTAGACGCATGAACAGTGATACTGAGAGTAGTGGTACGGCCAGTTGCCGAGGTTGCCTGCATCCCGCGGGAACCCTGCTTCGGGACCCTCAAACGTCGAGGCAGCCAGAATTTTGAGAAGTTAGGGCCATGGGCAAGCCTCAGCATCCTCAGTTCTATTTTGTTTGACTAGCAGGATGCCAAAATATGCCGAAATGCTCAAATTCAATTGCATAAATTATGTTTCGTCGTTCCCGGAACAACTGAACTAGGCACCCGTCATTTCTGAAATGGATAACATGTCTCTGCAAGTGAACAGAGGGGCGCCGCTGCGAGGTTGTTTTAAACGCCATAAACTAAAGCCAAAGGCCCCAAACAGCCAAACAAACACCAAAACCTTAAACCCTAACCTATGTACACCAAGACCTAAATTCCAACGCAAACGTGAGCTCCAAACTGCGTCGACCCCACGGAAAGCTGAGGCCTGATGACTATCTTAGTTTTTGAGACAGTGATGCCTGGAGCACAAGGGCAGCCTTTCTAGCCCACCATGAGTCCTGCAGCCTAAACAGCCAGCCAGCGTCGTAGTAGTCGTAGTAGCAGTAGTAGTAGTAGTAGCAGTAGTCGTAGTAGTGGCAGTAGTCGTTGTAGCAGTAGTAGTGGTGGTGGTGGTAGTAATGGTAGTAGTAATAACAGCAGCAGCGCCTCCCTTTTCCGGGCATCTCTCTCAGACAGCGTGTTTCTCCTTCCTCCTTCCCCTCAACCAGGATTTCATGACAGCCTTCACTGAATCGCCCAGGTGCGTTGTTTGGCAAATGGATGGCGTATTCCTTTGCACCGATGACGCTGCCTTGAAGCAGCGGCTAACGGAGTCACTCAAGCAATGTGGCCTTGAGCCCAGTGGCCGAAAGTCCTTGGTGTGAGTCGATCGGGCATCGATGAGGCTTGCTTGTATCCACCTATGACGCAACATTGCCGGCAGATGCATCGAAGGCAGCTTGGCACCGCGATTCACTGTAGTTCTTGAGTCTTGGGCGGTGCAGGCTGTTCACTTCGACAAAAGTCTGGACTCATACAAGAAGGCAGAGGCGACTTGAGGTTGACGTTTCGTCAGACTGCAAGGACTGCTTTACGCTGCTGTACAGGATGTGGTGATGGAAGTGCTTCTTATGGCTAGAGGTTGCCGCGGCTTGCTATCAACGTGCCTCCCCGCTTTTATGATGTTGATGTTTCACTTGTGGCATCTCACCAATGGCGTGATGCTGCTGGGTCCATTTTCCGTATTTAGCTACGATCGCTTCGCAGTGTGCTGGAGCGTCATTCAGCTGCATCTTGTCAAAGGTACAGCAACGTCTCAGCCGCCGTGGTATACCTGAGCCCAGACAGTTTTACGTGCCAAGCAAAGAACCAGTTACGATGCATCGCATACGCGCACTTCACTGGCGTAAGGTCTTGCTGATGCAATGTCAACGCTCATGTCCACAAGTGCCTTTGTCCTCTCTGCTTCTTGGAGGTACACAACATTTTGGGACCCTGTGGATGCCAACATGCAGGACGGCTTGCTTGGCTTTGTGTGTCTAAGGGTGCTTGTGGCGATCAGCAAGATGTCAGGCATGCCGTGAGGAGACCGTTCTGACCTTGAGCCCTGAGTTTTGATGGACTCAGGCAATCGTACATGGCGTGCATGTTGTCATTGCCACAGCCTGATGAAAGCCGGAAGCTAGTCAAGATTGATCAATCCCCAGAATGAACCCGGCATGTCAACATCAGCACATCCTGTGGCAATGTCCAGAAGTCCAAAGCTCGACTGCGGAAGAGAGCGGGTCAGCCTGTTATACATTAATTGGCCCCTCCAGCATTTGCTGTGACAGCCGTGCACAGACGAGCAACTCAGCACATGTAAGCTGCACTTCACATCTCAAGAAGCATTTCTGAGCGTTAGAGGTCGAATTTGCTCAGCCGCTGTGCTGCATTCTGAGGCGTGCGTGCTTGATTTGATGCAGCGTGCCAGATATTTTCCAGTGGTCTGCTGGCTGCCTGAAAGTCTCGGGGGCTTAGTCCTTCGCAGACAAGGAAGCCAGATTGAGATGGAAAGCTGTCGCTCGATGATTGCAGCAGAGCTTAGCGTTGAACACGCAATACACTGCAAAGCAATGCACAGCAAGCGACAGCTCCTCGTTTTATATCCCCGTCAGCCCGGCATTTGGTGGCCAGCAGCTCAGCCGGCTGTCCATCAATACCCGCAAGTATCCAAAACTGTTTCCCAATCTACGCAGTTTGCCGTTTGTGCATCCTGCATTGTGAATCTTTGTTTTGCTTCATGCTCACGAAGTGGGCAGGCCTTGACAAGAACTAACCGATTTATGTGCTGCTTGCTAAGAGGCACATGAGTAGCTCAGTTCAAAGCCAAAGCGTGCGCACACAATGGTGTAGAAGTTAAGAACTTCAAAGACTCTGTTTGTGCCGACTGCCAGCGTGCGGGCCGGAGGCAGAAAAGAGACTCGCGCTGATTGGAGGGAGTTGTCCACTCAACAATCTCATGCTTTTGGGTAAACTACTGGAGTAAGGCCACCTGACATGCCCAGCTTGACAAAGGTTTGATTTGGTTGGACAAGATTGCAACCCACCTATCGTGCCTGATTGACTAGCTGCTCGCAAACAGTCCTCGGTGCTTTGTGCTTCTGCCTGCAGATGCAGATGCTACATCTCTCTCTCTCTCTCTCTAGCATTCCTGCATTCTGAACTCTGCAGATGCGCTTTCTGCTGCAAAAGAAGTCTCGACTTCCCTGTTTTCACTGCCGACAGTGGGCTCAAGTTTGAACCTTGCTGATGTTTCAGCTTGTTTCTAGGCTGAAACCAAACTTCGGGCTGCATGGGAGTATGGGAGATGATCTGAGTTATTCCAGGAGAATCACAAGGACATGCGGTAACCATCGAGATTCAGAGATCACGGCAATGGAGCACAACCTGGCTACGATAGAGCAGGCGGCTGTGTCTGCACTCCTTTATCACAACCCTGCATGAAATTGAGACCAACTGCAGCTTTCTGTAGCAACGCCTTGCAGGCTCTCTCCAGAGAGATTCAGCGGCCAGCCAAGTTGATGTGCACCAGGCACTGAGACATGTGTCATGCAGGCGCTGTGACCTAGAATCTCGGCTCACAGCCCAAGCACCAGCCTCACTTGATTCCGACCAATGAGTTGACTATGACTTGCAATGAGGTGGAGGCAACACTGCGCCAAGCTGCGGAGCGCGCAGCAGGACATTGCCCTGAACCCCATCAAGCTGGTATGAAGTGTTCAGCCTATTGGCCTGCTGAACCATTCATGCAGAGCCTGTGATGTACGTGTTGATGAGTCAAAACGTGCTTTCTCCTTGGATGCCAAAGGCAAGAATGATCTGGAGCGGGTTTCTCGGTTGAAAGGTGTGCTTTCGCATTGACGCCCGACAAGATGGGCCCCAGGAGCTGTGGAGGAGCAACTCCGAGAAGCCCACCGTCAGACTGCGGATGAGACAAGGATCTGAATCAGGGTTTCAACTTTCACGAATTCGTTGCGTTGGCCAAAGGTGCATTTCTAAACTTCTGAACTTCACGTGGCGTGTTCTCCATAGCGTGTAGCAAAGCAATGAGGCAACGATCGACTTGTTGCTTGCTAGGGTTCGGCTTCTGGCCTTGGAGAAGTGTGCGGGCTCCATGAAGCAGCGCCTGTCTCAAGTGGAGGATTGGCTCTGCAGATGTGGCTGTTATACCTTTTGCATGTCGGACTATGTTGAGGTTTAAGAGATGTCGCGTAGCAGTCTGACGATTGTTCCAGGATTTTGGGCCAGCTACAGACAAGCCTGCAGGTTCGAACCGTTGTGAATGCCTTCGTGAGTTTCTGCTCACGCGAGGTGATCGGCAGATCGCTTGGCTTGAGTCACGCATAGCCGGGTATGGCACTTACGCAGCCCTACCCAGATTTAGTTCGTTTTGAACCCCTCCTTGACATTCATGCATGCCATTCCTTGACATTCATGCATGCCATTCCTTGACATTTTATGCAGGTTGGAGCAACTGTTCAACAGACCCTTGGAGATGCTCCCCTTAGAGGCAACACCATTGCACTCAATGGGAAGGCTTGGCATTGTGGGAAGGTATCGAGGCAGCTTCAACTCATTCGACGCCAGCTGCTTGATGAAGCTGCTTCCAGGCCAGATGGTATTGCTCAAAGGGAAGACCAGATGCCAACACCAAGAATATTTTCCTCAGACGCCAGACCATCAAGTTTGAATAGGTGTACGTGTTGTATTTCAACTGCCTGGCAGGCTGACCGCTTGAATCCCATGTACATGAGTAGACATTCTGCAAGCTTGAGCCAACCCGACAGAATGATTAACCTAAGTTTGACAGTTAGTGCAATCCTACGGCAGTAGGAGAATCTGCTTGTGAGAGCAGCGCATGATTCAGGTGGAAAGACGTGGCTCAGCCGATGAGAGTTGAAATAGGCCTGGGGTTGCTAAGCAAGACTGAAGCTCCCGACAGAGAGAGTGGCAAGTCTTGTCCGCATTCGTGAACGCCGCGGGCCCACTGAATGACGATTCAGGGAGCAGGACATCTGACAACCTGCCAATGGGGAAGTATCAGTGGTTGACGATGCTGTATAATGCCGTAGAGAGGTTTGGCGCTATTGAAACTCATTTCGATCCTCGAAGCCCTTTGGTGTTTTCTTGGAGCTGTTGGTGATGCTGAACGTTGGGACAGACTATCCTTGCGACAAGTGCGATAGTGGCGCAACCTGTTTGCAAAGGCCAGTGACGCTAAGTTCCGAAGTGCCCACGATGTTCTTGACCGCCATTCTCCGTCGGAATTGGGTGGTATATCGGATTATATCGGTATAGGTGTCAAGTGCCGAAGGCAAGAAGGCAAGAGGTGTGATATAGGTTGTCACAGTGTGTTCAGCGTCTTGACAGACGATGCGCGGCAGCGTGTGGATGCCCTGGAGCTGGGGCCACAGCCGAGAAACTGTTAGTCTCATTCGGACGTCTATGCATTACGCTCAGGCGATGGTTGCGGGAGGCCTTGGCTCCTGAGCTAGTTCGCGTTCAGCTGGACCGCTCACTTGGCGCTTGCTGTTTGCATGCACACCAATGAATCCTTCCACTGCATGACACAGTTTGCTGATGTCTTCCGTTGCACGCGAGTATTTGTTTGATAAAGCACTCACTCAGGCCCCCAATTCCTGCCCATTGCAGGAAGCTGCTGGATCCTTGGGAACCAAGGTGGTTTTACGTTCAAGCGAACACAAATCTGTCGCCAAGTGTCGACGACATTTGCAGCGCCCCTGCAGTCTTGGCAAGGCGTGCTCCATGCTGAAAACAATTGGACTGTAGTAGCATGCTAACAGCGCAGCGCTCTGTCAGGCAGTTGTGCTGCGTCATGTTGCGTCATATAAATTTAAGTCCACCCACTGCATCACCAGGTCCTGGGTAATTTGAATCGTCTGCAACAGAGCAGAAGTTTTTGCCAAGCCCGCATGACAGCTCGCTGCCGTGCCACATGCACGCGAGAGCGCTTGCACCTGTTGCCTCAGACATGCGTTCGGAGTATGTGTATGTATATATATATATATGTATGTATGTGGACATATTGATTCCTCTCGGGCTTTCCTGAGATGGAGCCCAAACCTTGAGATGGAGTGAGTACTTGGTGCCATGCCTCTGCCTTTGCAGAGATGCAACCCTAGTGGCACCATCACCGCCAGTTATGCAGCGGCAAGTCACATGGGCAGCATGCATCAGACATTCGCTTCGCAGCGCAAGCAAATAACTTCCAGAGAGACATTTCATATCAGCAGGAGACATGGAACGCACGCCAAGCAATATCTTACCAAGACAGCTCCTCCACAGGGACCGATGACAGATGGCATAGGCAGCAAGAACCAACACTCACCACACTTGGTAGAAGGTGTCGGCGCATTTCTCGGACTTGAGACTGGGAGCGAGATGTGATCGTGCCATACAGGACCTTGCGTCTGAACGACGCTGCAGAGAGAGACTGGAGAAGGATTCGCGAGTTGGCACCCCAGGCAGTGCGCATGTCAGTGGGACTCACGTGTTTGCTTAGGTCGCCAACCAAACGGTGCGGGGAGCAGCGCAAAAAGTGGTTCCTGCCGCACCATCCAGCGACACAACCTGGTCCTTCCAAAACTTGCTGCCAAAGCCCGTGTCAGATGTTGCTGCTGACATTACGAAAGCAAAAGAGACGCCGAATCGGCCAGGCGAGCTACAACAGAGATTGGAGGCAGAACTCCCATCTGATCGTCAACATCAAGTGACATTTGCTGGCCGCAAGTCTGACCAGAGCACCCTTCAAATCACCAACCAAGGAGACCAAGCAGGTCGGACGGATGCAAGACAAATTCTCAATGCACAAGCAGACAACCGGGACCAGCAACGGAAGACAGAGGTACACGAAGCTGCAGCTCGGCTTGAGCCGGGCCAGCGAGAACAAGCAGACTTTCAAGAGAAGCAAAATGCACAACAAGATGGTACTCAGATTGAGCTGGACCGGCACAAACCGAGTCGCAGCTCTCAAGCAGATGCAGGGCCCCAGCAACAGCAAGTTGTAGAGCGGGGCCAACGAGAACAAGCAGACTTTCAAGAGAAGCAAAGTGCACAACAAGATGGTACTCAGATTGAGCTGGACCAGCACAAACCGAGTCGCAGCTCTCAAGCAGATGCAGGGCCCCAGCAACAGCAAGTTGTAGAGCGGGGCCAACGAGAACAAGCAGACTTTCAAGAGAAGCAAAGTGCACAACAAGATGGTACTCAGATTGAGCTGGACCGGCACAAACCGAGTCGCAGCTCTCAAGCAGATGCAGGGCCCCAGCAACAGCAAGTTGTAGAGCGGGGCCAACGAAAACAAGCAGACTTTCAAGAGAAGCAAAGTGCACAACAAGATGGTACTCAGATTGAGCTGGACCGGCACAAACCGAGCCGCAGCTCTCAAGCAGTTGCAGGGCCCCAGCAAAGCGCCACCGGCATTGACCAGAGCATAGAAAGAAAGGATCTGAACGCTGCCCGTCTCTTACTTGCTGAGCACATCTGAAGTAGCATTTACTAGTGCACCGTGACCGAGCTTGTTTGTTGTTGATTGCCAGAGGCACAGCACCGCAGAGCTAAGGCTACCGCATTGCAAAGTTCAACTGGAGGTGAGGCCTCACTTGCCATTGTCTTAGATTGGCCCGACTTAGTAAAGACGCTTGGTTGTTCAGCAGGCATCTGAATTTTGTCTGATCAAATCTATGCCGCATTTGGATGAGCTCTGGACGCGATCCGATATAACACTCCCCGAAAGCTATGATCAATGAGAGCTGAGGTCGCTCAGTCTGAGCCGTCGGGAATGCCCCAGTCTGCACCTTCTGAAGACGTTGGGGGGCCCAGCACTGCACAATGGCCCAACACTGCATGACCCGTGGCTTTGGCCCAATGGCATGACTCGACAGCGAGGCACCTCGACAGCGAGCTCTTCTTGGTCGTATGAGGAGGTCGCTAAAGCATCGAGCTTCAGGACTAGTCTCGAGCAGATTGCATGGTGGACAAGAAGCTAAGAGAGCACGCTCAGCAATTGTCTGGCTCAATATATGTAGTTGGATTGACTGGGTTGTACTCAATCTGCCATGGCTAGAGGATCCGGGCATTGGGCAAAAGGGTTAATCGTAAACTTTTCCCATGACACACCTAAGTTATAAGGACCCCCGCTACATATCGCCGTGGCAAGCCGCGTCGCGCGTTGCATGCCCTCAAAGAAATGTCATAGCCATTTGCATTGTTCTGGATTGGAGGTGTAGCCTTCCCGTATTAGAAGGTGATGGTCAAGCCCATTTTCTGGTTTCTAATCCGTGCTGAAAGCTAGCCACATCTTTGCGGAAACACGACTTGTACTCTAGCATGGAAGGTACTTGGGCAGGATGCATTCTGCGAGATGCTTGGGTTTGGTGTTGCCGCAAAGCTGCAGGACAATGAAGGCTAATGAAGGACAAGAAGCGACAGGAGTGGTGAAGTGCCTCGTTTAAGAGCCGATGTAGTGTTGTAGCTCTGGCTGGGGGCAACTGGGACAAACGGGCAACCCAGACTTGCGGTGTGATAGATAAACATGAATGCTGATTCATTCAAGCGATCATCTTTGCCGGATTAGGATGCACGTGCCCAGCGCCGAGGTGTCGGTCAGGATCTCAGCATTTTGGCGTGCCACAGTGTCTCAAGTGCTTCGACGCAAGTAATTAATGAGCCTGTCCAGTGGGAACAACATGTCGTGCGTGAAGTTCACCCTTTGCCACACTTCCTCCATTCCTCTATTGAGGCACGCTTGCAAGTTGAAGCCGGACGTTGGAGAGCCAAGCTGCGAGGCCAAGCTTCAAGAGTTTGGAAGCGAGGTGCCCAGGATGGCCCAGGGAGGGCAGTTGCGTATGGCACGACCGTATTGGTGCAGTCGTACTCTTTGACCTCTTTGACACAGCTCGAAATGGACTCCAGCTCATGCAGCCGTGCTAAGATGCGCACCGAGCCCTAGCAGATCATCCGCTGGACTAGCCCCCTTCGTGCTGCTTGCAGGACGCAGTCGTGTGTCTCAGCAGTTGCCAACATTGATGCCACACCAACAGGAAGGGGCGCTGCCAAGAAAGCTGCACGTTGGATGTTGCTTGGGGTTGCTTGGTGCGCTTCTCGTGCTGTGAGGCAGGCCTTAGATCATGGGAGTGCCCAATTGGAAGAAAGTTATTGCTGGCAGCCAAACATGTTTCCAAACTCAGCACAAATTGTTCCATCAAATACCCACGCCAGGGTCGGCAACTTTGAAGCCAGCGAGCGGCCCGGGCGAGCGGTTCTCTGAGTAGGATACCAACTCCAAACAAGACAGATATTTGCTGGTTGTAAACATCGTCTCAAAGACTCGCACAGAGACAAAAGAGGAGATGTCATGCATCGCATGTTACCGAGGTGGCGGTTTGAGCGCTTTGTGCGAGTTTGCGGTGTTGATCTTGCAAATGCTTGTGCTATTGGCTCAAGGGCTTCACGGATAGGCCCAAAGGAGAGGTTGGTGCCAACAGGTTTTCGCCTACGAGCCATGCCAGCCCTAGACCGGACCTTGGATGAGATGATCGAGACCTCGTGGGAGGGTAAAGGCCGTGGTAAAGGCAAAATGAACGGCAAAGGGGGCCGTGGCTTCGAGCGCTCTGAGCGCTCCGAGCGCTCTGAGCGAGGTCCTAAGCTGGACATGAGCCTGGATGAGCTTGTTGACCACGAAGGCATCGGCAAAGCCAAGGGCAAGGGCAAAGACTGGGAGAATGGCTCTGGCAACTATGGCGCTGGAGCTTGGGGCAAAGGATATGGCAAGACATGGGGGAAGACCTCAAAAGGTGATTCACAGAAAGGCGAGTCATACAAAGGAGATTCCTCCAAAGGCGGCTATGGCAGCAGCTATGGCAACAACTATGGCAGCTATGGTGGCAGCTACGGTGGCAGCTACGGTGGCAGCTATGGTGGAGGCTATGGTGGCTATAACAGCTATGGCAAAGGCAAGAGCTGGGGGAAGGGTAAGGATTGGAATGGATCGACATCCACTTCCACTCCGTATTGGATGGAGCACGATGACTGGCGAGGAGATGAAGATGAAGGGAAGGGTGCTCCCGTGAAAGGGGCCGCATGGGGGAAAAGTGCATGGCGAGATGAGCCGCGGAGGGATGGCGCCTGGGAACGGGATGTGCCTCGTGACCGCGGCTACGCGGTGGCCTCGGAGGGCGCATGGAGCCGAGTGGACCTCGAGCGGGCCCGCGACCGCGACGGCCGCGACGGCCGCGACGGCCGCGACGGCCGCGAGCGCGATGCCCGGCGCTCAGCGCTAGCCGCCGTGGCGGATGCGGTGCGCGGCGAGAAGCGACGCCGAGGAGACCGTGAGGAGAGACCCCGCTCAGAGAAGCGGCCCCGGACTCGCACGGCTCCGACGCGCATCAAGGTCACCAACATCCCCAAGGAGTTGAAGGCTGCTGATGTCAGAGAAGCATTTGAGTCGCAGACAGGAAAAATCACCCTGTGCGAGCTTTCCAGAGGTGTGGCCAACATCACGTTCTCGCGCGCCAAAGATGCCCAGTTGGCAGTAGAGACTTTCGATCGCGGAGAGCTCAACGGCAAGGTCATCACCGTGACTTTGGAAGATTGATGTTTGATAGAGCGCCCTCTTGCGTTCTCACACCAGAAAATGTGGCATTCTAATCCCACATTCGTTTTGTGAAGGAGGGGAGGACCGGTTGACAGAGCGTAGCAGTGGGGTCTGAGACACAGACTGTGCGTCATGAGCTCCACGGCAAATGTGTGCAGTGCTGTTTGATTTGATTACGTGGCGTTCTGACTTTGACAGCTGACTTGCCTTTACAGATCATGACCTTACGTTAGACTTGGTACACCTGCTTGGAGCATCCGTATGAAGATTTGGGGGCTATCCCCTGAAGTGCAACGCACTTGAGTAGCAGTGAGCATGTGCAATCAAAATCAGAGCGAGTTTGCAATCCTGCATGTAAGACTGGATTATCAAAGCGAAGCCTGGACTCAAACAGCCTTCTGATCATCACTCATTTATGGGATCTCCAAAACTGTTCTTTGCATGTTTGGGTTAGCTAAATGTGACATAGAGTCCGAAACGTGTTTTTCTGCGCACCCATGTGGGCCAAGATTCCTCTCCATTCGCAGCTGGCTCAAGTGTTGTGGTGAGTCCCGGCATCGGTATCCGGCATTGGCGCAGGGCCAAGGCATTGAGTCTGTTTCCTTGCAAAGGTGCTGCCTTAGCGCTGGCCAACATGTCATTCAGACATGCTCAATGGCTGCTGTTTGCAAGTGCGAACTTTCTTTGCGCACAAGGAGCTTCTGCTGCTTCCAGTTCTATCAACAAGAAAAGGTTTCTACACGTCTGTGCTAAATTGAAAACGACTTTTGGTTCCGCCAGGGGAGAAGCAGAGGGACTCTGTGAAATTTCGCTTTCATACCGAGGTCGGAACCCATCGATTGCTGCAATGCTCAATATTGGTCAGGGGCTCAAGATGTTATTGTAACTTTTATAGTCAGTGCAGCGTGCGTAGGATCAACCCCCAAGCCCAAATGCACCTGTGGCAACAGGCAGAATCTCTGCTTTGAATTGGCTTGATGTAGGTGCAGGTGATTAACTAATTGCTTGCCTAAGGCCTCGTTGACTAAGCAGGTTGGGAGGACAGAGAAAGACAGGACAACCAAACTGCGCATTGATAACTAGACATACTTGTCGACGAGTTCTACGATTCTGGAGTTACGTGATTCTGCGTTTGAGCCCAGGCCAGTTCAGCTGGCACAGCCGAGACTCCATGTGGGTTTTCATTCGGGTGCGAAGCTTGCATGTTGCAGCAGCTCGAGGTGCAGTCCGCCCGGGACCACTTCGACAGCCGGATGTGTCGCGATGACTTGAGGCCGGACGTTCCGCGCTTGGCGCTGCGCACTCGCGCAATTTTGAGATTCGCCCAGAAACTTAACCTTCCTGGGGACGCTTGAGGTGTTGCGGGGCAACAACACGGCTTGCTGAATGTAGGGACGCAGCGCCTGCGCTCAGAAGAGCTATTCGGCGCAGAGCAAGACTCGCGTTAGTATTGGATGCTTACGTGCAGCGGCGGTATAGCTGAGCCATGAGTTATGTTGTCTGGTTAATCTCTTCCCCCTATTAATAAATACGCCCCCCCCCCCCTATTATGAATAAATCCCCCCAAATTATTTTGTTTGTATTTTTTTGCTTTTCCAACAATGCGAGGGTTCACATAGGATTTGGAGGAAATGGATTGAATTGTAAGGTCCGCGAGTAAGCGGTTTAATAAGGAAATTTGATGTATCAGGTCTCATGTCTTCGGCCTGGTTGGTAGGGACATGGAGGTCAGTCTCCCTCACAACACGGCGGTTCCCCCCTTTCTCGGGTTCCCTTGTTTGGATCCCTCTTTTTGTTTGGGGTGTTTGCCCCCCCTTGAGTTCTATTGCGTGACTTGATCAAGCACTTTGAATTGCATGTTTGTTCCGATGCCATTTTGGCGAGAAGGGCAGATCTTCCCAGCCAAAGATTTGATTTCTGGGGCCTGGGAAGAAATCCCCCCCTTTCCGTCACCCTTGCTGCAATGGCTTATCCTCGGGGCGATCGCCGTGGAGGGCCAGCTCAGTGGGGCGGCCAGGGAGGAGGCGGAGGTGGCTGGGGTGGAGGCCACGATCGATGGCCTCGCACCAACGACACCCACAATCCATGGGAGATTCAGATGCCTCATTTTCTGGCTAGGCTGGCGGAAACAGACCGGGAGTCCGACAGCTCCATCATGGTCATGGACACAAGGGATGAGCGGATCGTGAGCCCTTTCCAGTGCTGGCTCGTGAAGGAGGTGGTTACAAACGCTCGCTCGAGCATTAACGTGCTCATTACGCTGTTCGCCAACTATAACCTTGACGGTATCAAGGTGGTCCTGGTCTTAGCGAGCGACTCTGAGACAGGGCTCACCATGTGGGGGTTGGGGCGGGCCCACAGCCACAGCCCTGTCCCACCCTCAGTTCCAGCCGTTCTCGTAGCCTCTGATGCGGGACACGTCGGCTTCCTACGTTGACGTGAAGCTGTACAATGGCAGTGGGGTCTTGTTCGATTTGTCGGTACAGGTCCAGTTTTGCGACGAGGCCTTGATCAGGGACGCTCGGGTCGGGGCCTTCAGGCCATCCGTGGTCATCTCGGTGTTCACCGGCTGGAAGGTTTCGGTCTTCTCGTTCGAGGTGGGGCGGCGCTCTTATTCAGTGGGCCCACATGGTACCATCTACGCAGGTGACCGCTGCCGATCGCGGTTTGAGCTGAGGGTAGTGGATCGAGGTTCAGATGACGCCATTGGCAACGATGCCTGGAAAGCCTCACTGAAGGATGTTGAGGAGGGCTCGGCCTTGGGCCCGTTCTTCGCCTCTGAGGAAGTGGACAGAGTAGTCAGTTGCCGTGACTGGATCCCTACGCAGAGGTTCGAAGTGATCCAGAAGAACAAGGTGAGGGGTTGCGACTTGGCCACGAACCTCGTGACTGAGATCACTAGCTCCCGTCCACGGATTCCAATGTGTCGGTCATTCGCATGTTGAGACAGAAGCTCTGTGGGCCGCTCGGCGCTGGGTTCTTGATGAAAGAAGGGCCTACAGGCAAATTCCGATCAGGCCTGAGCATCGAAAATTCAGTGTGATCGTGCTGAAAGACCCTGCGTCGGCGCGGATTGGCTTCTTCGTGATGATCGGTATCGGAGACCATTGCTGGATCGTCTTTCCAGTTCCTGGCCTTATGAGCAATAGGTGCACCGTCGCCTTCCAGTGCTAGTCTCCTTGGCGGTCGTCAGATCTGGACTGATTTCCTGTTCAGTGGGCTGGTGACGGACCCGATTGTGACAGGCCTTTCCGTTTCATTCACTAACTAGTGTGATCCACTCTTTGGTGACGTGCCTGGCCGTGAATCTGTCCTGCTGGACAGGTGCAGAACTGACCGTGATTCCTGTTCAGGCCCACTCACCCCGCGTCAGAGCCTATGCAAAAAGAGGGTGCGCGTTTGCGCTCTGGGTATCTGAGAGAAGGAGGGGGCCGACCTCTGGATCCAGAGCGGCTTGTGTTGGGATGTGACTGTTCTATGTGTTTTTCAGTTTACTGGTTGTTTGTTTGCAGCCAGGCAGGTTATTTAGCCAGCATGTGCGGGAGAGAGACAGTCGCAGCTAGACAGCTTTTGGGGACATGTTTTCTTCTGAGGGACGCCCCAATATTTAAAGGACCCATTTACAAAAAACACATCTGGGGTGCAGCCAGGCAGGTCAGGTAGCCAGCTTGTGATTGACTGCTAGACAGTCCAGTGCTCGAGATCCCTTTTTGGTTTGGGGAGTTGTTTAGTCATTATAATTAAAATTCATTATCATTTGTGTTCATTGGGGGAAACAGAAATGATGACAGGCAGGCGAGAGGCCAGGCAGGATTGGCTATAAGGGGGGAACAGAGCCAGGCAGGAGGCTAGGCAGGAAGCTACGGAGCCGCGCGAAAAAAAAGAGGTCAGAGAGTCCAGACAGTCAAGGAGTCAGGGACAACCAGGGACAACCTTTTGGGGAGAGAGTCAAGGACAACCTTTTGGGGAACCCGCCAAAAGGACCCAACCTTTTGGGGAAGCCAGCTTTTGGGGAAGCAACCTTTTAGGGAATTCATCTTTTGAGGAACCCACCTTTTTGAAAGTCGGGCTGGAAGCTTGTTAAAAGTGCCCCCTAATAAGGATTCCAAGACTTTAATATTGGTTTAGTGTTGGCGCAATGGAAAATCAATTGTGCGGAGTGGAAATCTGGTCCCGGGCCCCGGATTTCCATTTCTGTATTAATGGGGGTCATCCGGGGAAGAGATTACAATTGCAGGAGACAGCGCGGACAAAGAGCAGCAAATTGCATTCAGAAAGCTCGAGCGGGACGAACGTCATGGCTGGTCAGACACCTACAACAATATCAAGAAGCCCGAAGAAATGTGGGAAGTCCAGGCACCTACAATCAGGGAAGTCCACTGGGTGGGAAAGGAGCAGAAAGAAAAAGACAAGGAAAGAACGAAAGGAAACATGGCAAGGTCAAAGAGAAAAAGAGAGGTCGCCAGACGCTCCAGCAGGCTTGCCGAAGTTGAGCACCTGTTTGCCTGCGTGGGTACGAACAGTCCATGAGGTTTGCGTCAGAAGGAAGTTCAGCGCAAATACTGACAGTGGGCCAAGTCTTGTTCGAGGTTCTTGGCGACCATGTGCTGGTGGAAACACATCTATGCCATGGAGCAGCTTGGCTGGATGCACTGAAACGGCCAGTGGCCTCGTTTGTGGCAGCCCCAAAAACCATGAAGTGGTGGATTACCTGTTACACAGCTGCGTTGCCAGAGGGCGTTGAAGCGCCGCAAGATCTTGGATCGCTGTTTTTTCCCCCATCAAGAGCATGTTGCGGGCAAAGGTTTGATAGGACTGTTTTTAGAGGCTGAATGTCACCGACTGTTGCTGGTTGCTCGTTGGTCCTCTTGATGGACCACACCTTGATCGCCAGGTTCCTAACTTCAAATTCAGTGAATTTGCGGAACTCGTTTTGCGGGTCAACTTTTGGTGTTGATTGGGTACCTCAAAAATCACACCAACTGGGGTGCCAAGATTTTCCGCAGCAGGTATCACCTCGTCCCTCACAGCCACTCCTGCTTACATGTCTGGGACTTGGCACGGTTCACCAGTTCATTTTGAATCTTCAGGTTTACTTTTGACTTCCAGCGTCTGAGTAGTATTAGGTCTCTCAAGTCAGAACATTCCTTTTTGGAGAGTTGATGGCAACATACAACATTGGTTTAGTCATACATCATTGTTGTGATGTATTAACAGCGTTCAAACATTGCTACTGTTGTTAAGAGAATGACTGGTCATTGTCTTGCACCACGATGACGAGTAAAGACCAGTGGTATTACTTTCTGCAGCAAACTTTAACAAGCCATCACTTCTACCAGCTATTGTTGTCACAAATGTGATCCACCCGAATCGTTCGTGTCCAAGTTCTGGCCTTTTACATCCGCGACTCGAGTGTCAGACGTGTGGCCCTGCGTGTTGTCCGCGGTCCACAGCGCTTCTCAGAGTCGCGCTCCTTAAACAGCCGCCGCAGGCCAGCCCGCAACTTCTGAAAAGATGCCGGTCTTGCTATGCACAAGGCGCGTTCTGTTCCTTGAGTTCCCAAAATGAAAAGCACCACCTCTGAGATGGACGATCTTCCACCTTTTTGGCTTGTTGGCGCGAGGCCTACCACGCTCATGTGCAGTTTCTTTGTATTCTCCATGCAATGTAGGTCATGAGCTGTGGTCCTTTTTAATTGTCATTCAGAATGTCCTACTTTCCTCTACTTCAAAGAGTTGTCCATATTCTTTAAGGCTCTCGGTACGCACCTTGAGCCTAGTGCGCGTTTCCTTTGTGGGGCTGATGAGTGGGCTACTCGCGTTGGGTCGAATGTCAATGCGCAGCATATGCATGCGCTACACACTCAAACATTACACGTTGCACACAGCAAACTGTGCACTACATGTACGTTACACACTACACACACTCTCTCTCTCTCTCTACACACACACACACGCACGGGGACTCCGCTTTTTGATTTGGTGTGGCCGTTGGCGTCCCAACGTGCTGAGACTGAGGCAGATCTACAAGCGGCTTGGCCAGCATTGAATTGTTCTGCGGCATTCGAGTAAAAGGCTGTGAGCAGCTGAATTGCAGGAAGGGGCACAAGCCTTTGGTTTATATAAGTGCATTCTGCCGCAGATGTGCTGCAAACTGGGCTCCTGCAGCATTCAGACTGCCGCTGTGCTGTACTCTGGGTTTTGTTCTGCTTGAGTCGCCAATCCAAAAGCTGAGGCCCACGATGGCAGGTCCGAGGTCACCGTTAGCCTATGCTTCACATCACGGGAGCCGCCAGCTGCGGTGAATGCCATCTATGACAGCCGTTATCATGGCAATGTAAAGGATGATGTCAAGGAATGCTTTATTTCATTCCCAGGCAAGTTTGCCTCTGGGTGGGACGTGCTAAACGCGGCCAAAGTGTGGCGTGCGTTTTCTTGCAAACTCCCGAAGTTTGCCAGTTCCTCAGTGTCGCTGCGATAAAATTTATGGTGAGGAGATTCTTGGTTGCGCTGCAATTCATGACAATGACAGAAAGTCATAAGTACCATCACCGTTGTTTCTTCTTTGTTATCACTGCTGACATCATTCTCATTGAAACTGGAAACTAGGCTTGAAAACAAGAAATGCGTTTGCGTGATGCGCGCAATGTCAGGGATGGCAGCAAGAGGAACTTTGTAAGTTTTGGGTACATTTTGAAACCCAGGTCTCGAAGACGTGCAGAAGAAGGTAAAGGTGAACGCGGTAATTCTTCAGCGAGCAAGAGATTGAGAAAATAATGGTGGAGGCAAGGGAGATCTGCAAGCAACTTGGATTTCCGGCGAGTTGACTTTTGATTTACCTGCTCCAACGCTTTGCCGTCCTTGCTGAATTATTTTGCTGAGCAGCCAAAGCGCAACCAAACCCCTGCCTGGGGGTGCTGTGGCTCGACAACATGCTCAAAGCAGTTGAAAAAGAAGCGGAGGCTGAAGGTGGTGTACTTTCCAGATCAGGTAGGACAAGGCAAGGTGGACATGGAGCTCTTACCGCATCGGATGTGTGGGACGGAGTGGAGTGCGGACACCTCACAGAAAGGTGAAGTTGCAACTTTGGACAAGATGCGGAAGAAGAGCAAGGACAAGCAGGGCAAGTCAGACTGGGACGACGATGAGGTGGATGTCTTCTCTTAGCTGTGTACAGAGTTGAAGCACTGCACCCTAGTGGATGCATTTGACACGAGTCAAAACAAGCAGCGAAGGGGGTCCTTGATCCGGGTTCGGCATTGCAAGGATAAGCGTGTTGCGTTCTTGTGGAAAGTGAGGTGTGCTGACAATCAGCAGGATGCGGATGAGGTGATTGAGCCTACGCAAGTGCGGATGTGACGAATTCCATTTCATATTTGCTCAACGACGTTGGCAGTGACCGTATTTGGACCATGCTGAATTGGAGGTGACCATGATGACCATCAAAGAATTGGGCAAAAAGACAACTGCGCATGATGAAGACCGAGTTCTTCATAGGAGAAGAGCCTGCAGAGCTCTTCAAAACTTACCACGCATCAGGAGGAGAACCTTCGCGAGATGGTTGCTAGCGTTTGCACTTGTGAGCCCTGGCAAGGCTGGCGTAACCCTTTGTGGCCCCGCATTATGTTCTGAACGCACTCACAAGCTCATCACGGTATGTGCTCCATGTGGCGCCAACAGTTGCCTTTGCCTACAATTATTGATGTGGCTGGCAACAAGAGCAGGTCATGGCAGCAAAGATTTGCGCATCAAGGTGGAGGCCACGCTCGCCAACGCGAAGGTCATGCAATTTCCCTACCATCTTCAAACTGGGCATTGATAGTGCCAAGAGCGGAAAGCTTGAAAGAGCTAGCGAAGCCACACCTATCAGACCAGTCTCAAGCCGGCAGCTTAGAGCAATCTTTTCCTGAGCACGGAGTCAAGCTCACAGAAGTCGTTTGAAGCACAAAGAGGATTGCTGGTGCTGCCGCTTTTGAGTATCTCGGCGCTCGCCAGTTTACGGTCATTAGCTTGGGATTGCCACAAATATGTTGACGAAGGACGATTCAGGAACTGAAGTGGCAAGAGGAACTAACAATGCCGGATTCTGCAAGGCTTCAGAAGCGAGAAACGGTCTGACTCACATTAGCTACCCGAGTTTACATCTCCTCTTGCTTTAGAGTGGATGTTCATTTTGCGAAAGCACTCACATGGCCTTCAGACCGCATTCATTGAACATATGCATCGTCTCGTCTGGCTCTGACCAGGCCTTGAGCTGATAGGCTTGCGAATAAAACAAAGCCTAGCACCCTTTGCCTTTTGGGGCTGTTTTGGGTCTAGCCTTTCTCAGTGGTAGCGGGAGCCCCTGGTTTGTTGGTTTCATTTCGCCACTCGCCGCCATAGCCGGCGTCAGCCACTCGGCGCCGCGCGGGCCATTCACAACTCCGACATCAAGGAGGACATTTTCGACTTCGAGGACACGGCAGCCGAGCTAGCTTCAGAGGGGCCGGAGGACACCATGTCCGAGGATGGGCGACGAACCTATGCTGGCGGGTTTTCCGACTCTGGGTTCGATGCCAGCATCCCGGTCTGGGATGGACGATGTGACAGCCTGCTCGGTTTTTGCTACGACAGAAGGGCACTGCGAAGCTGCGAGTGCCGGAATTCACTGCGGCCTGCCCGGTGTGATGCCGGGATCCAGAAAATCCTCAACGCCTGGGAGGAGATGATTGGCCGCACCGCGTCGGATCGCAAAGGTGAGCTTCGGGAGAAGTACTACCTGCGCGTGAAGGCTTGGTCGGATTTGCACTTTTTGGCGGAGAGCGGAGTGAAGGGATTGCCGTAGATGACGCAGAGACGACCTGGTTTTTCAAGCAGAAGCTGGGTCTCACGGAGATGTAGCGACAGATGCTGGAGACTGCACTGGGCTCCACGCCGGAGGACTGACTACGCCTTACGCCACGCGCGAGAAGGACGGCTGTTCAAGAGGATCCATTTAGTGGCACCCCCACCCGGGAAGCCCAAAGCAGCAGTTCCGCAAGGCATGGTGTCCTTTGGCATCCTTGTCTTCGCGCTCTTCATCCACGACGTCGAGAACTAGCTCGGGGCGCTCTATGGCGAGTGTGAACGTTGCTGAGGGCGAGGCCGAGGAGGAACCCAAGATGGAGGAATGCGGAGATGCTGGAGACGGTGGAGGAGGAAGAGCACGAGCCCTATGGTCAGGGGGCAGGCGGACACCTTGGAGGTGTTGCAGAGCAAGATGGAGGTCTTGGCAGCTGAGAAGCTGCCGCTGAGGAAGGATGCGATGAAGGACACCTGGAAGAGCTGAGGCCAGACAGCAGATCGCGACCATGAGGAAGGACCCCCCCCGCCGCGGCGGTTGCGGACCTCTGCCTGTGGCGCTGAGAAAAGGAAAGTCACCCTAACAAGGAAGGCGAGCCGGAGCTGAAGCGGGCCCGGCTGAAAGAGGCTCTCTCTGTCAAGGCCTGGCCTGAGTGAGGAAAAACTCAACCAGGCGGCAGTGGACAGCGCTTGCAACCGCACATGTGCGGGTGGGCCCTATACTACTTCAAAACGCTGGAGAAGGCAATCCCGCCGATCCGAAGCCTTGTGGAATACGCAGATGAGGGAGAGCGTTTTCGGTTTGGTAACGGGGGCACGCTTCCAGACAGCGGGTGCGGATTCCCATCCTTGTGGATAAGACCGTCATCTTGGTATGGGTCAGCATGGTACCCTATTCTTCCTTGGGCTGTTTGTTTGGGAAGGACTTCCTGGACGCGTTGGGGGCGATGCAACTGCGCGCGCTCATTGCACCCCGCGGGGGGATTTCCAGGCTGAAGATGGAGCTCGTGAAGCTGGCCGCGTTGTTGCGCGTCAAGGTGGCTGGAAACGACACGGTCGAGTCCCTGCGAGCGAGGCTGGCGCCGGCGGTGAAGATGCTGGCCACGGAACATTGGTTGCAGAAAGGCAAGGTGAAGAACGGCAAGTCCGTGGCGGCATCCGGTTGGCACGGGTGAAGGACGACCAGCTTGGGCAGCTCGCCGTACTCAACCCGGCCGCGACTCGCCCAGCAGGTCTACCGCCTCGACCAAGACCAGATAATGACCTGGACGTGAAGCCGCTGGGCCTGAAGAAATCGCTGGACCTGTAGAGTGGAGTACGTCAAGTAGTACGACAGGCGGCTGTAAAGGCGAAGCGGATCGAGAAGGCATCGACGTCAACAAGAAGCAGGAAGGCCGTCATCTTCTGGAGACGGGCGAGCAAAGGGGATGGAAAGCCAACCCTCAAGGAAGTCCAGCAACACGACCTGGGCTATGGGTGCAGGTGATGATGATCGACGCGCAGGTCCGGGAGTACCTCCTAGAAGAAGGGTATGAACACGAGCGACGATTGAGAAGGAGAGAATAGACCGTTGGTCGCGGAGATCTACACCGACACGGCACCGATCCTGAAGGAAGCGTCGCGGCGTGGACACCCAATGACCTTGGGCGCGGCTTTTGACTTCTGCAAGTTCAACTGCCAAAGAGCCGCCAAGGGCCTCATGGACAAGCACCAGCCCGCCTTTCCGTGTGGGTCCTGGAACCCGCTACAGCATCTTGAAAGCGCAAAAGTGCCAACGTCTGGTAGACTATGCGGTGAAGCAAGCGGAGAGAGCGCTGCAGCAGGGGAGGCATTTGTCATGGAAAACCCCCGCGGCAGTGCAGCCTGGAATCTGCCGAGATTGCGGCAGCTGGCAAACAGGGAGGACGTCTTCAAGGTGTTTTCGATCAGTGTCAATTTGGACTACGTGGAGCTGGAGGAGGTCTACATCGGGAGCGGACTCTCCTCATCGCAGCTGGCAGAGAGGTTGAAAGACCACATGTATGATGGTAGCCACGAACATGAACTGGTGATCGGCGGGGGCAAGGTCACTGAACGAGCTGGGCACTACCCCAAGTCGCTCGCGAAGGTCATCGTCACCGGGGCCGAGAAGCAGTTCGAGAAGAACATGCTAACCAGGTTCTGGCCTAGGACGGAGAAGAACCCGAGCAGGATCTGGAAGAGGAGCTTTAAGCTGAGGAAAGCAGGCAAGCTAGAACAACGTGAGCGCTGGGTGGACTCCGACCTGGATGTGGAGGATGACATCGAGGTGACCTACGAGAGAGCAACGACAGGCATTGCAGCGGCTGCGCGACAACACGGGACATGGAGCGCCGCTGAGACTGGCATGAGCTCTCATGATCTCGGGGGATCGCCCGGAAGTGGTGCGTGCGGCGAAGGAAATCAAATGCGATGTGCGCAGGGAGACGCGCCGCCCGGGGACGAGAAGGCCAGCAGGACTCCCTCGACCGCGACATTTTGGGGATCAAGTCCACGTGGACTTGGAATTGGGTGGTGCGCGCGGTGGACTTGGTCTCGAGGTTGCAGTTCCGGACACGCACGACATCCTGCCCTTTGTGTGTGGAATTCGCAGGACTTGGTCGAGAAGATATGGAGGGCATCGTGGCGGCATCCCGCGCAGAAGACTGGCCGCGAGCAGAAGATCGCGGGCAAGAAAAGTGTGCATCGGAAGAAGGCACTTCTCCGACGGTGGCGTGGACCTGCGACAGTGGTGGCAACTGAAGGTGGATCAGTGCCGGTGGCGTGCTACGTGGCCTGCAAGGGCAACGTGACCAAGCGCGCGAGGCCGGCGTCTACCTTGGAGCGTTTTAGCCGCGGAGGATTGGGGTGAGACGCCTGGTGAGGTCATTGAAATTACTCAGCAAGGCATTGG